TAAATAACTTTTTATTTAAGCGCTTTAAAAGTGTTATAATAGAATTCTACTTTACTAATAAAGTCTACTAATCTTTCTTAGACAGAATTAATTAACTACTAAAGGACCTACTTTAAAGCTTTAATCTGCCTAGCCTCCCTCTGTCTACTTTATAACTAAAGGTTAGTGTTCCTATTATGCTCTTGCGCAATCTAGATCTAGGGTAAGGATTGTGTAACAGTACACGTCTTGTAGTCACTGCTGTTAGCTAGACAGCGCCTTTCTTTATTAGTAGGATACTTAGCAGTAAGTTTAATAGTTAGATCTAAATAATTACACATGTAAAGTTAGTGTCTAAGAATAATAATGCCTTACCCTTTTTAATTATTTAGTATTAGATTCTAGTTTAACTCTGTTTTACTATATCTATTAATAAGTTGCAAGGTTAGTTACTTAAGATTGTTAGTGTTAACTTACAACATTCTGTCTTTACTTATAGCTAGTTATATGTAGCCCTTTTATGTGTTACTACTGTATCTAGCATCTCTATTCTAATTCTGCCTAGTTTAATAGGCAAGGTAGTTAATATTATGTATCCTAAGGTTATTTTGTAGACTGCTCTGTACAGTGCATGTACATTTCTGCCCTGCTACTATATTTGCTCTATTAGTAACGTCTGCTTTTATTATAATTATATTAGTCCTGCGCTATCCTATTTTAGGCAGTGCCCCTAGAAATCTAGTTTTAGCTTTGTGTAATAACAGATCTAGCCTTAGCCTTCTTAAATTAGGTTTAATCTTTTTTAATCTGCTATAATACTTTTTTCTTACTTTTTACTTACTATATTATACTTTCTGTTATTTTGCTTTTTATCTGCTTACTATGTTACTCTTTATGTACACATCTGCTAGGGCTATTTTGCCTTTTAACCCTTCTGTATATAAAGAGCCTATTAGGCCTGTAGCTGTTATGCTAAGTATTAAGTAGTAAACATTTGTTTAAGAGATGCTTAATTAGCATTACATTATAACTACTTACCTTACCTGCATTAATTATAGTCTAACTAGACAAAAAAAAAGAAGTATTAGCTATACCTACCTTAATGTAAGCTGCTTTTATGCTACTTTATTATATAAGCTAATTTTCTTATAGGACTAAAACCTTTATTATTCTTCTGCTATTCTACCTAAGTATAATATTTTTTTTTTTAACTTTAACTACAACCTAGACTAGCCTTTTATTAATAATAAGAGTGTAATAAATTAGTGTTAGTAAGGCTGTTACTGCAGCCTCTACCCGCCCTATCTAGGGCAGCTTTAGTCCTAGATGTAGTTCCCCTCTACTGTTGTCTAGGAGTGGCTGCTCTAGGATAGACTAGTTTATGGTCAGGTAGTAGGTGATCTACTAGATGCTACCTAATTCTATCTGCCTTATATATAGAACTACAACATAAAGCTTCTAAGGCTTATGTTTTATAATACTAAGGTAGTTAAACTAAAAGACCTATATTTTAAGCCTAACTTCTATTTCTAGCATACTCTTTAGCTAAGGTATAGGCGTGTAAGGTTAGAAGAATAGTACATATTAAAGAACTCTCTCTATTAGGTTTAGCCTAATGCTTATTAGGTATGTTATCTTAACTAGTCTTTAATTTTTTCTAATTATACTCTAAATTTATTATAATCTTAAATGCTCTATATGTTATCTATTAGCATAATGTCTTTAGTTATTACTAGAAGATTATAAGCTAAAGTATAAAAATACTTTTTTACTTTTAATAAAGTTAATATCTAGTTCTGCTCCTCTTTCTTCTATAAGCTACTATAATAGTAGCATGTTATAAGATCTCTAATTAGTGTAGATCTGTTATTAGGTAATTAGGCGCATAGATTAGGCTTATTAGCACTAGTCTAGTTAGAAAAGGAAGGCAGATAATTAATATTAAAAGCAGAAAAAACATTTTACTAATTAGATTAATAAAGATACTACTTACCCTAAGAAGTTAAAAAAGTTTATAGGTGTTTAGAGTCTTAAGCTTTAGCATTATTTTTTTAAAAGTTTTAATAATGTATAGCTACTAATTTACTTTATATTTATTACAGGAATAGTTATGTGCAGCCTATAATCTAATTATATTAGCTACCTATTGTAAGATTGTAAACGCTATTCTTTATGCAGTAGGTATATTATTATAAGGTTAATCTGTTAACTCTAGTAGGAAAAGCATTAGTAGGTGTAGTGCTAGAGCAAACTACTACTACACTAACTTACATCTATCTAGAAAATAAACTAACTATCTAAACCTAGTAAACTAAAAGTAACCCTACTAACTTTGCTTAATGCTTTTAAGGTCTACTCTAATTAGTCTAAAAAAGATACTAATAATTATTAAGCCTATGCTTACACTTTTTAAAGAATTTCCTTTTCTTTAGCGTGCTTTTTACAGGGACAGTTATATTAGTGCAGCCTAGATTGTTTACTGCAGTCTTAACTTTTTTTTTTCTAATATTACCTAACTTTAACTAAATTAAGTGTTTATTATAGAATTATTTTATAGCTAATTAGGTCTTAACTTTTTTAATAAATAAAGAGTTAGAACTTAAAGAAGTGTTAGTAAAAACTTTTATATTATTAGTAGCTATAAACTCTTTGTTATTAGTATCTTCTAAGTCCTTATCTTCTTTAGATTAACCCTTAGCTATGTTAGTGTTATTTATAGGCCCTTTTGCCTCTTCCTTATTACTATTAGCTAGGCCTTTTTTAGCATTAAAAGCTATGCTAACGTCTACTACTATGTTAAACTAGAATAATAGGGACTGCATTACTTTGCTAAGTTCTATGCACTTATCTATTGCAAGTTTTATTATATCTTTAATCTAGTTCTAGACCTAACTAAACTAGGACTGCAGTAATTTATTGTCTATAAAGATTACTTCTTAGAATAACTTAATTATAATTAGTAGAGCTGTGTACATATTTTACTGTATAGGCTAGGCCCTAGTCCTTAGAACTTAGTAACTAAATAAGTTAATTATAAAGGCTATAACTAGATTATAAGGAACAGTAGGTTTATTATAGATTAGAACTAAAGTAGCTTTTTAAAGGCTTAGATTTGCCTTAGTTAAAGCTAATCTAGGCCCTTTTAGTGTTAGGGTAGATGTTAGCACAGCTAGACTCTTCTATAGAGTAGGGATACTTTTTAGGGAGGTAGTAATATTTTTAGGCATTGCCTTTTTCTTCTTTAGCTAATAGACTTTATTTTATTTAATAAATTTAGTTTAATCTGCTAATATATATTAGTATCTAGGTATATTTTATTTAGAAAGAGAATAACTTACTTTAAAAATTATAACTTTTACTTTCTACACTATAGTAATAATTTACATAACTATAGCTAAAATAGTTAGGGACATATATATAGTAGATAAACTTACTGTTTTTTTTTAGGCATTTCTAGCAAAGATCCTGTAAGATCTAACCTACTATAAAGGCTACTAGTGCCTTAGCTGCTTTAGAGCGTGTAACTTTAATTAAAACTAAGTTAAAGCTATTCTAAAAAGGATTAACTTATGTACACACTATAATAATCTAATTTATTTGCATCTTAACTAACTTTAAATAAGCTGTTGTAACTTTTATGTTTAGATCTTTTATAAACTTAGGGTCTATTAGGCGTCTAAAGAGTCCTATTATCTTTACAGTAGTCTAGACCCTTTTATATAGCAGCTTTAAATTAACAATTTTATATAAATTAGTGTCCTTTATAAAAGAGTTAAACTGCTTAAATTTACTGCTTAAAAGTTTAAGCTAAAGTATAATTTTTCTTTTTTTTTTACCTTTAGTTAGCTTTAACCTAGCTTTAGCTAGATCTATCTAATAAAGCAAAACAATTAGAGTTAGAGCAGGCAGGGCCTAACCTATGCCATATCTGTAATGTCTATACTAGGAATATAGTGGCATAAACTGCTGCTAGAAAGGGTACAGTCTGCCTAGAGCAAACAGAGGTGCTTTATGTTAAGGCTACTAGGTGTTCTAGTACAGACCTTAAGCCTGCAGATATTAACCCTAGGCCTGCAGATATAGACCTTGCAGTAGCAGATATAGTCTGCAACTTAGCTAACAGGCAAATTACTGCTAATGTTCTTTATAGCTAGATATAGGTTAGATATAAGTAGGAGTAGGCTATAAAAAGATATTATTAGTCTAATTTCTTTTTAAGTTGTATTAATCTAAATTAATCTAGATTTACTTACACTTTTACTATACTATTGCTAGCTCTAATTTTAGCCGCCCTGCAAGCTGTCTAGTCTAGTCTAGCTAAAGGCGCAGGCAGGCACTGTCTAGTTTAGTCCTGCCTACAATGCTATTAGACTTAGGCAAGACTGCGTGTCTTCTAGTTAGAACGTATTAGGCATAAAAGGTAAAAAAGTAGGTCCTAATAACATATTGTCTAATAAAGTAGGTTTATTATTATTTAGCGCCTTTATTTTTCTTAATTAGCCCTAGATTATAACACATGTAAGGTAAAACTTACTATTACTATTAGCACTAGCTTTTTTAGCTAAGAGGTTCTAGCTTCTAGTTAGGCCTTTACCTTAGAAATTAATAATAACCTTAGTATTAATCTTTAGTAATAAAGGCTTATTATTAGGTTATAACTAGTTATTATTTAGTGTTATTATAGCATTATTAAACGCAATCTACTGCGTTAGAAGTAAGTAAAGAGTGTTAGAGGCTATTCTAATTAGATTTTAACCTAAAACATGTAGATAAGGTAAGATATGTACTTATAGCATCCTTAGCAGTTTAGGATTAGCTAGTAAGGTTGCACTGCCCTAGTTAGGTGGGTTGGTGGGCGTGGCAGGAGGAGATGTGAAGCTGGGTTGGTTAGATTGTTTATTGTGGCGGCCGTGCGCGTAAGCGAGCTGTTACGTAATCATTCCTAATTAGGACTAGCCCCCTTCTTCCTGGAAAGGAAGGCTAATCTGCTCGTAACTCATAACTCAACTCCAAAACCGGCCCAAGACCACTTAATATGTGAGACTTCATGGAGACTTGTCCTCGAGCGGCTTAAAATCGTAACTCGGCAGCCCGTCTCTCCTCTCGATTCGCTGACGCAATTGGGAAGTTTCAGGCTGCTGGTCTTCGTCAACACGAGGCTTGCAGTCCTACTCGGTGAAAAGGAGTCCAGTCCACTCAAAATCGCAAGTTTCCGCGTATTCATTTGAGAGCCTCAAACCCGCGGGACCGAAAATGCGCCAATCTAGCAGGAAATCTCGCCATGGCTGCACGGAATGCAAAAGGCGCCACATTAAATGCGACGAGACTCGGCCGTCTTGTGCCAATTGTAGGTCTCGCGACAGGCAATGCTCTTTCCTCCTGTTAGTTCCTTCATTTCCAGCCACGCCGGCCTCATCCACCTCTTCTAGCTTGGTAGATTCGTCACACAATGATTCCTTCTCGCTTGCCAACTGCGCAAGCACTTCTGATACTTATCCACCAACTCCGTTGTCACAGGATGAGCCAGTCACCACACTTTACCCAAACCCTTTATCCTCGTCAACCAATCAGCTTTTCAAACTTCCCCATTTAGAGCTTCTCCTTCATTTTGGGACCGATATGCGGAAGGATCTAACTCTGGAAGACACTGAAGCCGGAGGTTTCATCGACTTGGCACTCCAAGAAGCCATTAAAACACCATATCTGATGGACCAGATTATCGCCGTATCAGCTGCCCACATGAGCACGAAGCGCCCGGACCAAGAAAATTTCTACCGGGACGAAGCAACGTACCTGCAGACACGTGCATTGGCTATATTCAATGCAGGCCCAATTACTATGTCCGACGACAACTGCCTCGCTGTTTTTCTCTTCTCAATCCTGCTTGCACAACAAGTGCTGTTCGATACGCTGTCTACACGAGCGAATTTGTCGACGTTTTTGGACAAAATGGTTTCCTGCTTGACTGTTTGCGGCGGAATCCGGGGTATCGCTGGTCAGTCCTGGCAATCCATCGATGCACAGTTCCGACGACATGATGGGAGAAGTACGGCTGAGGGGTGGGCGGACCAAACAGAGGACGATACGAGCATAACGACAGAGTTCTCCCGCCTCGATGATCTGGTGGATAATACCGATCTTAGTGCTTCTTCTCGAGATGCCTACATTCAGGCCGTAAACCTCCTTCAGAGACTATCCAGTGCTGCAGAAGGGCCCCAGGACTCTTCACTTCGCTGTGCTAACCTTGCACTTCGATGGGCTGTCATGGTTCCATCCGACTTCGTTCGACTTGTTGATCAGCGTCGACCGGAGGCTTTAATAGTGCTTGCTTATTATGCGGTGCTGATTTATGAGGCTAGAGATTTCTGGGCTTTTGGAGATGCGGGAGAGTTCATTATCCAGACTATCACCATAAGTCTGGGTACTTACTGGGCTAAGTGGCTTGCATGGCCGAATGAGGTGCTAAGTCGAGCGGGGAATGTACAGCCCGGTTGAGGACTGATGATAGAACTTACTAAAGAAACTTTCGGTTCTGGCGACCCCATTCTTTATTTTGATAAATAGTATGCTATCTACATATCAGGTACTCAAATCTGTGATATTACTTCCATCTCGAATCTCTAAACAAACGAATAATACAGTTTGGCATTACTCACAACTCTGTAACGGGGGAAGAGTCCTCATTTCTAGGAGCAATACAAGACCAACACTCCACCTTTGCGGGATCCCTACAGCCCGAATCGTACTTTGCTTTTTGTGGGAGCGGACAGAGGATTCGCTGCTGGACTTTGCCATTAGGGCCGGGAAATGACATTGGGGAGCTTTCAGGTGCAGTGCCATTCTCAACCCAAGCGCGAAGCTGATCGAATAGAGAAAGAGGCTGGCCTCCTGTTCCACCAAAGCAATGGCCGAGACCAGGGACAGGATAATGGCGATAGAAATCTCGAACGTCAAGGAACCGCTCGGAAACCTCTCGATAGTATTGCTCGGTGCTCTTGGGGGTTATGATATTATCGGCCTAAATCGAGAAAATGAGCTTAGAAGTCCCAACGATAGCGCAGGAGTGCTTACCAATCCGTGGAATGTCAACAATTTGCCTCCTGCCCGCTTGAATGTTGAAAGATCAGGGTCGCTGGTTGCCGTGATGGAATCGTACTGCTGCTTACTATCGTGAAGCATATCAACGAACTTCTGATGAGAAATATTGGAAAGATCGAAGTCTGGCTGCTTTTCGACAAACAGTTGCAACCATAAAGATCCCAAATTATTTGCTACTGGGACACAAGTTCCGTTACTACATTTGGTAGCAGCCAGACCAGTCGGATTGAAAGACGACGAAGAGTCGCCGGTGAGATCAGCATCAAGGTTAAGACCGTGCCAAAGACGTCTTCCCGTTGTTGACACAATGCCTTCCCATGTTGCATTGGCTACCTTGGCAGCAGCAGCACTGATCTGCATCGTTGTATTCGTTTGTGCACAGTCGATCACTTTACCAATGAGATCGAATGGATCGAAATTTGCGGCACATTCCTCGACGTCGGCGACAATACCATCTACGACACCGTCAAAGCCGTCGCATTTCGCAATTGCTGCAGCCGTAATAGCATCGATCTCACAGCCGTAGGGGTACTCGTTTATCATAGCCATGTATTGCTGGGTCCAGAAAGTCGTAAATACCAATTCCGACCAGTAAATCGCTGGAGCGCCAGCAGCTATGCCGTCGTATGCTGTCGGGTATCGCTGGGCAAGCATGAGTCCTTGCCGGCCACCTTGAGAACATCCGTTCCAGTAGGAATAAGATGGTGGTTTTCCATAAAAGCTTTGGATCAAGGACTTCCCAATGATTGCCTAGCATTTTCCGTTACAACTTTACGAATGGTATAAAGGAGTGTCTTACCTCGTCATTCAAACTCACAGATGCAAGATCTTGCAACTTATACAAGTCAACATTTCCAGGACTCAATAGTGCCCAAGGACTTGGATCTGTCGCATTTCCCAATCCAGCGTCAGTGGTAATAGTAGCGTACCCATCCCCCATAGCCCCAGCCATTGCACTATAGGAAAGGAAGAAGCGGCCAGCGACCCATCCACCGCCACCGACCGCTTGAAAACGCCCGTTCCAGTTGTCGACGGGAAGCCATGCTTCTACATTTATCGTGTCGTTCTGTCCTGGGTGCGTGTAGGTTACGGTTATGTTGCAGAAAGTGGCGTTTTCAACGCTAATCGAAGGTTGTGTGAATCGGTATGCGCTAGGGACTCGGGCGCTGTAATTGGTGACTGGAGAAGCTTGGAGGGTCAGGATTTCGGATCCGAAAACGATTGGGGAAAAGACTTCAGGGACGCAAGCTGCGGTTAAAGACATTGGCATAATCTCAAAAGAATTAGCGAGTGTGGTGAGGATTTTGGCATGGCATAGACTGTTATCATCGGGGAGTTGGGGTGTTATATCGGATTAACTTGACGTGGATGTTAGCGTACCATCTTCCTTAGTTTGTTGATGACGCTGACGATGTCAGTGGTTTTCGTCGCCAGAATGGATCCCCGGAGTTTCTAGATTATGTTATGCATGGATATTGAGTATGCAAGCGGGGGGTTTCTGACTTCCGCGGATTTAAATTTATCTTATTGGTCGACTCTCTGTGCGATCAAAAACACAGCCACTCAATGCACTTCGAACCCACGGGCTTTTTTTTTTTGAGTTGACAGAAGTTCCATGGGAATATTTCTGCGATGCCTTTTTAGGCTTGTGGTCTTTCGGATCTCGTAATTTTACTGCATCTTGTTACTGATCGTGGAACATGCTATACAGATTCATTCAGGACAGAAATTTGCATAATATTGACGTTCCCCCTGATTATAGCAATAGATGTAATGAGAGGCTCTGCACCAGCTATACTCTATGTTATCTGAGAAACCACTGCAAATTCCTCGATTTGTAGCAGCACTTCGATGTGAACGAGGAGACATGGATGAAGTTTTTTAAACGAGAAGACCACAGGGGCCACCTTGAAATGGATTTCCAGGCCTCGATAATGCTTTTATCCTTCATCTAGATTTTTTCAGCAGGCTGAAATACAACGCTCCCACGAGGGTATAAGGATCGCACCTTGTGCTCACTAACCAGCATAATTATCTCAGTCAACAATGAATCTAGGTGGGCGTTAAATGCTAAGGTGGCTTGTACGCACGAACCAAAGTCGTCACCTAGATGGTATCGGAGCTCTGTTGCCAAGAAAGGCTCTTGAATAGCTTTGTCTTATCATCTTCTGAAATATCCGCATATGCTTCTCCATGTGATTCTCCTCCCATTAGTGGGCTAGGAAGGCAAATATAGAATTCTCATATGCCAACTTGTGCATGCTTTCAATTAAAGCAAGTGTTAGTTGAGGAATGTTAGTAGTGCCTAGGGACGCAGATCTTCCCTGAATTCTAGATTAGGCATTTGAAAGAAGGCTGGAGTCATGGACACTTGTTCCCTCTCCGGTATTGCAGTAAGATTCTTAGTGATCATACTGAGAGATTTGACCCATGGATTCTAGAATATTCATATGATTGACATGCACCCTTCTGAATAGGTCGTTGTCTTCTTCATCACTGTCGACTCGGTGTGGAACCTGAAATGTGAATCCGCCTCCAGAATTCGAAATCAGGAAGGCTGGGTCAGGGTCCACAACCTGGAGGATCGGAGGCCGTATTGTGTTGCCAGGAGGGGGGAAATGATTACCAACTGTGAATATATTCCCCAGAGCATAGTACAACCCACAGAAGCAACTGTATAGTGGAGTCACGAGGTCATAGAGGTGAGTGGGGAGGGAGATCTCACCACCGGAGAAGCCGTTGGGGCGTACTGGCCGTGTTTGCTGTCGTGCAACGAGGGCATATATTCTCAATATTAGGGTGCCTCCTCTCAAGAACGATAGACATGGCTAACGACGACCCATGGAGGACAGAGCGTTCCCAATTTCCCTCAGTAATACGCCGATAACTACGCTTTGGGTCAAGAATATGGAACTTGTTTCGTGAGACCATGCGCTCGCCAGGCACGCCTTTGAACTCGCATTGCAGCCGCGCAGGGAAGACCGGAAAGTATCGAAAATGGGCATAATGTAACGACATCGCTCGCTCGAGGACATCTTCAAAATGTATATTGCCCTGTAGTATCATGGTTGGCGCGATAGGTATCGCTCGAAGAGTCCGAAAAAAGTGCTGCATAAACGGTATAAGCATGAGGAGCCTTAATATCAAGTAATTCATCCCAGTTCTGCAGAACTCTGAGATATATTCGAAATCAATCTCTGCTAAGCGTTTAAGGGGTACCTGCGTGGGCTGAGAGGAGGAGAGGGGATGGTTTTGGTTGCCACGTCTTTAGATCCAGTTCATGTTTCTTGAGTCGGACTCCCTAGTATATTTTCCGTGCGGCCCTTTTCGCTTTGCAAACCAACTTAATATCACAGACTGGTGTCATTCCCATTCCTAGCCCGAGATCCTTGAGCTTATTGAGAAAGATTGAAAGGGGTATGTGACAATGTTGGCATAGGAATCGCAATTTTTCAACGGTGTCAAAGCTCTCGGGACCGGTTATCTGGAGGCTTTGTACCTTTCGTAGTAATCATTCTCGTCCTTTGAGCTCAAGAAGCGTAAGCTGAAAGTGGGAGCTTGCTCGATCTGTTTCGCGCAAGACTGAGATGGCTTTATGAAGCAAATGAAGGCCTGCCACAAAGCCACCGGCCGAGAGACCAAAGGAGACCACTATGCCGTATGGCAGGAGTCTGTACGAATTGCTCCTGATCTATTCATCCTTCCTGATGTGCCTTGACACCTAATTGGCCCTCCTGTGGATGGTGTCTGGCAGTTACTAAATCATAGTTGATGGCAAACTGAATTCCGAGAGTGGGTTGATTCCACAATAGCTAGGATTCCTAGGATCTCGGAGTACCTGTACGGGCGCCCTCGCCGTCCCGAGGAGACATAGAGGTCATGCACTTAGAGTTGCACGGCTGCAATCGATGTATCCAGCGGCTGCTGAAGTGTCAGAGGAAGCCGTAGGAATTGGAGTTTAGTAGAGACAATAACCTAAGATGGAAAAACTCCGCTCTGCTCCGACGGTGGCGCAGTTAGGAAGGAAGGTAGAGGTAACGAGGTTGACCACAGAGGGAATGCACGTGTCCTGCACACCTAGCGAATCATATGCTGTCCTGTCTCTCCACCAAAACTCCCCCTAGAGAGGAATTCAGGACCCAAACTTCCATCCCTTTGACCGCCTCTCTAATTCTAGTAAGTGATCTATAAGATAAAGCCTCCCCTGATCATGTTCCACAGTATGTGAGCACACACCATATGGCTTAAGTAACTGCGCCTGTCGTGGAAGGTTGGCAGGACAGTTTTGAGACGTTCAGCTTCTTACTGGGAGTAAGAATACTCGGAGTAAGAAGGGCTTTAGCAGGACGGTACTCGTTTAATTTACTCGTGCTATGTTCCACATTTGGTGGTAGGGTGCGGTATAACCTCATTGTGCTCATATAAAAAGTCGGAGGTAGGGGTCTGAAGTTGGTCTAGTTAACTAAGTAATGACTAATCATCTTTACGGCGGACTGTTAGCTGGTGAAGGGAAAAAACTAATCGCTAATTTAAAAATTCTTTACCCTGCACATAATTATAGCCTTTAGCTACTTACAACTTTATAATTATTTTATACATGTTTATACATGTTAATTTTATAATGCCTAGTAAGCGTCTTCTAAATAGTTACATTATACAAGTGCTTACTAATATAGTAGCAATGTAGGAGGACGTCCTAAGATTAACCTTAAACTGTACTAACTCTATCTACTTAGGCTTTTCTATAAAGGTGTTACATACGCATAAATAGCTACTTACTTTTTTAAAAAGTTTTAAGTCTATGTTACTTCTTATATAATTAAGTAGCAGTTCTAAACATAAAATGTAAAGCAACACCTTCCTGCTAAGGTTAAAAATAAAGTTAAGAATTAGATCTAAGTGCTGTTCTTTAAGGTTAAGCTTAAAGATTTAAATATGCTTTATATACTACATAATAAAGGCTTTTAAATTAAAAAATATATACTTATATAACTTTAATTTAAGCTTAAATTATATAGAAAAGTGTAAAGTGTTAAATAAAGCTAGTAAGTAGATAAGCTTATATAATAACTTATTAGTTAAAAGCTAAAAAAAGGTGTTATTAATAAGTATAAGTAAAAGTATCTTTATACACACTTTTATTAATATAGCTATATTATTGCATAGGACTAGTTATTTTGCATTTATTATATAATAAACTATAAGGTAGTAGAGCGCTGTAAGCGCAACCTGCAGCAACACTGTAGAGAGTATATTGTTTCTAGCCTAAACTTTATCTAGTCTATTAATAGCTATAGTAAGCTAAAACTATACAGCATAGAGATCTATGCATGTATTAACGCGTACTTACAATACATTGTATAGATTTATGTTAGAATCTCTGCCTACACTGCTGTTAGCTGCCTTTGCTAGTTTTTTAAGACACTTAAAGAAATAAAGCAGTAACTATGTTTTATATAATCTAATTAAAAGACAGAGATAGTTATGCTAGTAGATACTTATTACTAGCTTTAAAAGTTTATAGAGCCTAAGCTTTTATTTAATTAGTGCTACTTTTATAGCATAAGTATATTAAATTAGTAGATTAAAGCTTAGTAGTAGTAACTTTTAAAAAGCTTTCTTTTTTATTAGTAAGTTAGTATTTTATATAATACTTATTACTTTATTTTACTTTAAGTAGGATTACTTTTACTACTTTTAAACTTAAGGCTTTTTTTTAAAAGATAGCTTAGCTAATTAGCTTACTATTTATGCTATATATATTTTTATACTTTATAAGGAACTATATAGCTTTATATAACTATAGAACATATATTTAATTTAAAGGTAAAAGAACTATTTAAACAGTATAGTTAAGAAGCTTTTTATGCTTTATTACTATTTTAAAGCCTATGTCTAAAACTAGGCTCTTTTATTTAATGCTAATTAGCTTTATATAATTAAGAGAAGAGTTAATAGTTAGAATATAAATGCCTACCTCCTACAGGATATGCTTTAGTAGTGTAATAAGGTACTAGATTTACTTAGATTTAACAGCGTAGCTGCAGCTTACTCTAACTTTTAGAATTATACAACACTATATCTAGATGTTTATCTTTAGCTTTAAGTAAAAGCATAATACTATATCTAGAACAGTCTTTAGCCTATACTATCTTTACTTAAGTTACTTATTAAAGCGTAAAATTAGTAAGTAAGGTTTTATATAATATACTTAATATAAGAGTATCTAATTTAACTAAGGTAATTAAGACATAGTTTAAAATATTAATCTTAAAACTAACTTTAGTAAAAAGATGCCTATTAATCTTAATCTAGCTTAGTAAATTTATGTAGATGTAGTAACTAAGCTTTTATTTTTTTTATAGTATGTTTAAATTTTTTATAGTTTCTTTTTTAGTTCTTTCTTTAGTTCTTTTTCTTATATAATATATAATTTATTATTACTATAAGTGCCTAAGATAAGTTTTATCTTACTATAGAATAGTTTTATAGTAAGTAGTCTACTAAATATAAGTTTTATTTAGACTATAGCGTTTAAATTTAACCTCTTACACCTACATAAATTATATAAGACAAAGAAAAGATAATCTGTCTAAAAAATACACTTAAAAGTGTAAAAAAAAGAATGTTTATCTCTTCTATATAAGCTGCTTTACATACACTAGCAGAATTAGCATGTTAGTAGTTAATCTAGCATACATCTTTACTTTTTATTTAAGGCTATATAATAGCTAAGCTCTCTATTCTTGTAATCCTTTACTTTATATAATATAAAGTAATTAATAAGTGTAAGTAAATTAATAGTATTAAACAGCCACATATAATACCCTCTTGTATATTAGCTAATATCTAATACATAGTAAATTAGACCTAGATATAGCTTTAGAACGCGCCTTTTATAAGCTATACTAAGTTTATTAAAAACAGCCTCTTTAAAAAGCTTATATAATTTAATTTTTTAATTACTAAAGGCTATTTTAAACTATATCTTATTATAAATGTTAGTAAAGATTATGTTACACATTTTCTAAAAAGTGCTAAGGATTATTATATAATTAAAGACTTACTAAAAAGTAGATACTTTAAAAAGAGCAACTAAAGCACAACTTTGTACCTAGTATATAAGGCAACTATAGTAGCTTAGGATAAGATTTTTTTATATAAACTCCCTACTAAGTAGACTAAGGTTAAGAAGAAGAAAAAGCTAGTAAAAAAAAAAAAAGTTAAGCAAAAATTAAGCTTTATTAAAAATAAAAAAGATAAAAAAATGCTTTTATATAATTATAAGTAGGCACTATTTTAGCTATTTAATGTTAATTTTTAAGTGCCCTATTAGCTTTGTAGTATTAAGAAGTAGTATGTCTTATATAATAATTTAATTTATTTTTTTTATTTACTAGCTTAGTTTAGTTTTACTATTTAACAGCTACTTATTCTAGTTACTGCGCAGAGGTACAGGCCTTAACTAAGTGCTACAGACATCCCTACATAGCTAGGTGCTATAGACAACCTCTATAGCTAAAGCGCTTTACTACTTTTAAAAGAAATATTATATGTACCTTAAGCTAAAACTATTACATTATTAGCTAAAGCCTTAGTAAGTTTATTCTTAATAAGAATAAGCTACTACTATAAACTATTACTAGCACTACTAATTTCTAAGTTGTAGCTTAAATATAAAGGTTTACTAGCTAGCTTATTATTACTCTCTTCTTTTATAAAGTAGTAACTAGTATAGTTACGCTATTTACAATTGCTACATGCTCTGCTAAAGTGCCCCTTAGCGCAGCAGCACTCTAGGAACAGTCGTGGGCCCGAGACAGCGCCATAGCATGCGCTGCACAGGTTGTCCACTGCCCTTCTGCAAGATTATATAAGGATAGCGTTAATATATAAAGGCCTATGTAAAGCTATTTAATAAAGGGATATACTGCTATATATAAACTCTACATCCTGCTCTAGAAGGGCTAGCAATGCACAGGCCTGTAGACTATAAGCTAGTAGGGCTAGCTACTGCTGTCCTACATATAAGACAAGATTAACATTAGCGCTAGCTTAGTTAGCAGTAGCAACAGCAGCATTATAAAGAACAAGAGCCCTATTTTAAGTGTTAGCTTTATATAATAAAAGTAATTAAAATACTATAAGCTTAATGCCTACATTATTATTATTATTATTATTGTTGCTGCTGCTGCTGCTATTACTGTTGCTGCTATTATTACTGTTGTTGCTGTTGTTATTGCTGCTACTGCTGTAGTAGTAGTAGATGTAGAAGAGTAGTAGTGGCAGTAAGTATCTATAATTATTGTACAACGCTGTAGTAAAGGCAGTTGCTATAAAGAGCAGTTGCAATACAGTTACATAAAACAACCCTTTACTCCTTAGATCTTTAAAAAACATTATACAAATGCGTTATAGTATGTTTTGCCTAGTAAAATACTATAGTGTTTTATACCTAAAATGCTTCTAAGCGATTGGCGATTAGTTTTTTCCCTTCACCAGCTAACAGTCCGCCGTACATCTTGGCGTTCACACATGTGCCGTAAATTGTGCAAAGACTCATACAACTTTTCCTTCAGGAACAGGAATCTGGGTGTTTCATGAGATGAACCTTGCGTGCAAAGAACTAAATCTAGTCGTAGCTTTTCATCAACCTGAAGTCTATTTTCCCTGGAGCTGGTCTCCGCCGTAGAAGTCACGACAAACTGATTCCCACAACTACCAGCGTTTCCAACACTTGTTTTCGGATCCCGCAGAATCCATGAATATATACCAAAGAAGAAACCGGGAGATCTCCAGCAAATAAATCCATACGGTGACATCTTGCTTGACCCGACCCACTGAGACAGCACAGCATTGCACGGTATCGATCGCTTACACCAATGGCCCGGGGTGTACCATCACTCTTCCTGCCCTCCCGTAACATCCCTTAACATCCTAAACAGCTCGCTCTTCAACCACGCACCGAGCATGTCGTACAAAAACTCCGCTTGTTCGTCGCCGTTCCCTCTCCAATTCGCCAACGCCTCAACCAACACCCCGCACTTCTTCAGCTCACCCAGCACAACCTGGCGTCTCAGCGCCTCCTGATCCGCCTCATCGAACTCAAAGGCACCGATTTTCATCGGTTGCACCGTGATATTGATCTTCGATGGAGAGAGTGATGGCGTCGATGGGCCGGAGGAGAACGTCCAGGACGAGGATAAAGAGGGCGAGGAGGCGGTAGTGAGCGCGGGTGTGGGTGGAGCTGCGGGATTGAGGCCCGCGGCAATTTGATACCATGTGAGGATTTTGGACGCGATGCTTGAGTATAGCATTGCGAGATGCGGGTCTGAGGAACAAGAGCACGAGAGTAGCTGTAGGACGTTCTTGACGGCTGATCTGGTGACTGAGAGAACAGAATCTAGGCTTTTTGTGTCTGGGAAGAACATAGATTCCATTTCTGAAGTCTCTGCTAACGTCTTGAAGTGTAAGCTCTCGAGTGTGGAGTATGCGAGGTTGTAGCAGTTGTGCGAAGTCGGCATGACGATGTCCTCTCGGAGAGGGTTGAAATTAGAGCTCATAGAGCCCATGGGGCTCTGTGGCGGTTCTGAGCTTTCCGGAAAGAAAGAATCTACGTTCGCCTCTGTTATCGCGTACTCCATAGGACGCACTGAATCCCCGCCAATGAAGTCTTTCAGCGCTTGGAAATCCGCCGGTAGAGACGTGTCAGGCTGTAGAGACTCTTGTCTTGCGAATGGATCCCGGAAGGTAAGTTCTGGCTTAACGGTTTGCATGCAATCCGTGGGCGATTGAGAACTGGTCATCAGGAATTCGCTCATGAAGTTGTAATCTCGCTCCGGAAACGCCGAATGTGGTGTCATTTGATGCTCGAAATCTAGTGTTGGGGGCCAGTTCAAATCTTCGACTTCCGGAAGCAACGGCTCCGCGCAAATTCGGAATTTGCCAAATTCGCTCCCAGCTGGTGAAGGCCGTTGCTTCGAGGCTTTTGTGAATGGGGTTCCGTCGGGATTGCGCTTCCGTGTACGTCCTGGCTTGCCGTGCTTTCTTGAAATGCCGTAGATGCAATCCGAGCCTGCTGATAAGCAGCGCGCGCACATAGGATGCTCTTTGCTGCATTTGACCTTCGAAGCTGCACATGCATCGCACGAAGCTCGAAGCTTGGGTTGCCGCTCCGGTTTTGGGGCTGATGTGGGCGACATTCTTGGTTCTGTAGGAAATGGACAAAATGGTAGTGAGGAATGCCAATCCGGGGCGGAAGGAGGTGTAAAAGACATAGTTAGAGGGCAGGTAGTACGAGAAACTTCAAAGAATCGGTGAGCGGCTCGATCACTAAAGCCGTGTCAGCTTCTATACTCTAGGGAGATGGATAGTGGTGAGCATGAGGGGAGCCGGGCTGAGGTCCACCGACTTTATGTATTGTACTGTACTACGCATCTTGCCTCAATCCAGGTACTGGATGCGTGAGAGTGAGACTCGGGTCTGACCCGGCAAAATTCCCACCCAGCTGTGCCTGCTTGCCTCCCGTCATCCCATCGTCGAAGGCTGGACGCAGTTCGTGTTAGTCGCTAGCATATTGCTAGAATGCCCCACGCTGGTAGCATGCCTGTCATCATTTGATCCCCGCGCCCACGTTTTTTGTTGTCTGGTAGTACGGGATGCAAATCTGGTGTTGTTGGAGCTTGGGCGGTAGACTGGCCAATTAGAGGCTGGGATCGGGGTGTTGTCAGCCGTGGAGGCTGATGAAGGATCACTTTGCAAACCCTGGGCAAACCCCAGGAATGGTTGTGTGAATAGTACTGGAGAGAAGGTTGCTTGGCAGGGACAGAAAATCCTCAAAGAAAATTTGAAAGGATTTGATTGAGGAAATTCACGAGAAGGCAGGAATCTTGGAAGGACACAAGGTCCTGAATTTCTCCTCTTAGAGTTGTATGTAATTGATGTCTATCCACAGCTCTCTGCGTCCGTGCATTCAGAAATTGGCACTCTCCGCGAATCCAAAACCCTCTTCCACAACGCAAAACGGTTTACGAAAACAAGCTCCATTCACCCAAATCTCCTAGATCCCCCAGATCTCGGAGTTCGCGCTAAAACATGCATGGAAGCTCGGAAGCCCCTTCCATCGAGCCGCTAGGTTGCAAGTTTCTTGGTTCCCGTGTTAGTCCCCGGAGGATGCAGCGATTTTGCGGCTAAGCAACGACGCCTAAGACGGGTTCCTGGGGCGTTGCTAATGGTGAAACCCAGCTCTCCACGTGGGTTTGCCATGCAGGATTTCTTGCAGTTGGGTTCGGTTGTTGGGGTAGAAATATCTGGGCTTGATGACAATGGCTGGAGGGGAGTTGAGTGTAGGCAGCTGGGCGATTCAGCGTGGCGGCTTTGGAGACTAATGTGAGGAGCTTGTTGGCGGGGTTTGGGTAAGTGTCTCACGACTTTTCTTCTAACATCCTCCTTCTGTTTGGTACACTGAATGATGATGGCATGCCTTGTGACGAGACTTTGCGAACCCGAACTCCGTATGCGAGTTGGTAGCTCAGCAGAAGATGATGCAACTCCAAGCGCAAACCTAGGTCACCGTCCTCGCCGCCTCGATACTGATCATTCATCCTCTCACCCTTCATTTGGCTCTCGTGGGTGGACCTAGAGATGGGCTTGAAGTTTATCTCTAATATCTAGGGGCACCTAGTGATACATGGAGCGAGTGGTAAGGCTAGGAGGCCTTTAGAGGGTTTTCTCTGGCCGGCTTTGCTGGGTTTAAAGTAACCACAGGTTTGGATTCCGCCCCCTTGTCTTTCAGAGATGAAGTGAGGTATGAGCAACCTTTCGGGTTGGGTATCTGGGATAGAAAGGAAAGCTAACGACTAAGAGCACGGACAATAGTCCACGATGCACTCCATGAGTTTGTGTCTAATTTGTTAACGAAACGAAAACCGAAAGACAACTGGGAAGTGGTAGAAAATTTCTTTTTAAAGAAAGAGGTTCATGATGGAATATGAGAAACGAGAGCGATCCCACGAACCGGCGATCACCGGCAAGCTGAGAATTTGACCTTGAGATGATTGTCGAGCATCATTGAGCTATTAGCTATATCAAGAAGCAACGAGACTGTGACTATAACAGGCCACGCAGACCTTCTCAGAGAGTGTGTGCATTCTGTGAGTCAGTCCCATCCACTTTTACGTTCAACTTTAAGTCCTTTGCTTCTACATCCGGCATACAGAACCTAATATCCTTATAATTAGGTAGGAGGATGTGCTGGGTTCTGAGCTTGGGGATGTTCTCACTGGTCTTGTTAAAATGTTTTTGGTATTTACTATGAGGGGTATAGCTATAGGGAGAATACATACTTGCTGAAATTAATTCCCCATAGTCAGGCGTGGAGGATGTTTTAGGGATCTGGGCTCTTGATTTAGGGATTTTTGTACTGGTTTGTTATTAGTTCAATAGGTTCTCTGTTAGGTATATGGACTCGTTTAGAATCCATGCTACTACATCTACTTCCTCTTGCCGAAGATATCATTCACTAAGCAGTCTGTGTAGCATGAGCCCACACCATGATGAGCGCTTGACCTACAAACCAACGCGTGATTGGACTTTGCCGCCAGCATGGATGCTTCTTTCACATTTCCGTTGGGTCCGGAAGAACCGGCTCTTTCTTAGATTGCAATGGAGGTTTCGATAGTAAATACGCAGGAATCATAGGAGAAAAATATACACACTCAGTAAAATTCCCCAAACCAGGTATTCTCAAAGCTCTTGAAGCTTAAAGTCTCCCAGTCGCAGCTTCAGAACATACCATCTTGAACACTCGAAATCTTTACAAGCACAAGATAAGCCTATCCCTAATTCTTCTCGGCGCTAATACTCGCCCTCTGCCTACCCCTAGCCTCAGCACTCAACCTCCTCTCCACCTCCTCAATCATCTTCGCCGGGCCCACATACCCCCTCTTCCGGATCCACCACCACCACCCCGCTACAAAAACTGTCAAACCCCCCGCAATCAAGCAGCTATAATTCATACTCTTGGAATCAAATGGGACCGCATACGGGAAACAATAAATGACAATAAAACTTGCCATATACGCGCAAGAGACTCCAGAAACGGTATAGAACACTGAATCGGGCATCCAGAATGGGCCAGGCAGGATGTGGCGCCGCCGCGACAAGATATGGGGCAGGATGGCAGCAAGGTAGGAGGACGAAGTCAGGACGACGAAAGAGCCTAGGAAAGCGTTGAACGCGGTTGTATTCCCGACGTAGATACAGCCAAGGACTGTGCAAATAATCCCACACGCAAAGCTTGCATTCAGCGGGTTTTTAAACCTCGTATCGATATGCCCTATCCAGGACGCAAACGGGGTTGCGTCGTCACGACCCAGGGTCCAGAGCATGCGGCCGGCGGTGATGTATGCACCGATGTTGGTGCAGGCAGTGGGGAGGAAGATGACAATGAGGAGGCCTAGGGAGCCGGCCCTGGTGTTTGTGGCTTGGCGGTAGAGTTCTGCGAGGGGGAAGGGGTAGGGGTTGGAGAAGAGGAGGGTAACATCATTGACGGTGTAGAAGATGGCGATGAGGTAGAGGAAGGCGGTTATAAAGCCGACGACCATTTGCGCAGCAATGGCTTTGGGAATATTGATGCGGGGTTTGGGGAGTTCTTCTGCGAGGTGGGATACGCAGTCTCTGTGTCGCATGTCGGGTCAGCTTTCTGTTCTGCGAATATGTTCTTAGAGTGAAAGCGATAGGAAAGATGCGAGGAGTTGCGAGCACGTACGGCACACCAACAGCGTAAGCCCCATTCAACATTCCCGCACAAAACACAAATCCATCACTCGTCCACCCGGTCTGATTCTGCCACTCCTTCCACACAAACTCATTCGTCGCATACCCCTTCCCACTCCGACTCGGCATAATCGCACACACCAAAATCGTAATCACGACCCCGGCGAAGATGAAAAACAGCCCGACGTTAGAGATGGCGGGAAGCGCGCGGTTCGCGAACATGACGCACAAACAGCATAGCCAGGTTACGATGAGATAGGTGATGAAGACGTGCCAGCGCTGGTAGGCGTAGGACGTGTGGAAGAGGCCGTACATGCTGACTATTTGATTCGCGAGGATAGCAGAGAGCGACGCGGCCCCGAAGACCCAGCCGAAGAAGTTCCACCTACGGGACCGGATGTTAGTATTCAATTCGAATAATTCTTCCCTGATTTACTTCAAGACTCGGGCGAGGATTAGAATAGTCCTTGTAGGAGATCGTACCATCCTGCAAAGTATCCAACACTCCTTCCATATTTCCCCGCCGTGATACTGGCCCAATGATAAACCCCCGCACTGGAGGGTATCGCGGACGCAAGTTCAGCGATACAGGACGCTATTAGCCAGTAGAAAAATGAAACCGCGATGAATTCGTATATTACGCCCGGTGGACCACCGTTGTACAACGCGAGCACCTATTTAGCCCGAAGTGTCAGCCAACGTACGACCGTCCGAACTTGGTCTACGAGAATGAAGAAACCCATTCGCTATTCGAAAAAAACATACAATACTCCCGCCAAGCGCCGCCCACGCATTCCCCGTACATATCCCAACGGCGCAAATCGACAGCAAGCTGAACTGTCTCTCAAGCTCCTGCTTATGGCCCGATGCATTTAGAACCTCACCAACCTCCACATTGTCATCTGAGGGGCTGTATCCTGGTGTAGATGTAGGCTGGACGTTTTCCTGGCTCTTTCTCTCCATCTTCCTGAACACGATCCTGGGATACAAGGATGGGCAGGGATCACGAGACGCGATGAAACCACAGGTTAAAGCATAGGAACCGTACTGAAGACAGGACACAGAGGAAGAAGAAGTGCCGGAGTGAAAGCGAGAACACTAAATAAAAGGACTGCAGACATTGACCCATCTATCTATACCCCTTCCCGTAACTCCAAGCAACGAACCGTAGATACGGGACTCACCCCGGGCCTTCAAACACGCAGCGCAAGATCCAGGAAAAGGGACCTGGTCCGCTTATCAGTCCAGTTGGAGCTAAAGCATGCCAAGGTATGCAGAAAGACCCTGAAGCACACTGATCATGTCCAATTGCATTTGCGGGACGAGGACAAGGATGCGAATCTATGATGTGAGTTTGTAAAGACCGTGTGTAACGCGGGTGTTGAAGCTTCGATAAAGAGAGCAGGTCAGAAGGGACCTCGGCAGCTAAGGGGAGACAGGAGGGCGACGGGAAGATGACAGGGTGTGGATGGTGAAAGCCAGTCGGAGGATACGGTCGGATGTGGGAGTGGTGGCTTGATCGGTGGCTTGATCGGTGGCTTGGGACGTCCTGCCCGCTCCAGACGACGTGATTGGCCACGTATGCCAGAAAGCTGCAAGATGGGATTTTGAAGATTTGCATTCCCTATTCAAAGCTTGAGAAACCCAGAAATCCTGTCCCTGACTCTGCTGAGTCCCATAATGCTCTCTTAGTTATATTACAGCCCGAGCCCATTTTTGGTACATTAAAGATGCTGAAGACCATACATCGCAAGCGATTGCTTGCAGTACGTGTCTTCGGCGAATAAACCGGGACGCCATGAACCTTATCGATCCTTCTTCGAAACCTTCCTTCTCCAGCGTGAGCACCTTTTATAACATCCCGTTGCGATGACGGCGGTACTTACGCCGTCCTCATCTCCATGTCATCGCCCTCTAGTTCACCTGCCTTTCTCTTACCCGACGCCATGCCCTCATCGTCTGCATCATCGCCCTCAGTCCACTCCATGACCTCCCATTCAACCCTGACATTGCCGTCACGAGATGAGTGGCCGCCCCTCTGCTTCTTGAGGCGTCCTAGTTTGGAATTTTCAACGAGCTCCTCGAACCACGGCGCACCGCGAGCGTAGGGTCCTGAACGTGCCACCGATCGTGACTGTGGGTGTCTGGAAGGACCCTCCATTGGATCTATCGCGTCCGCATCCTCATCACTGCTATCCACGCTTGGGAGTAGACCTAGTTGTCCCAAGAGCTCCTGGTCCTCGTCTAGCAGGCTGCCGACGGTCAACTGGATGTGCTCGGCATCTTCCTGTGTCCGCTCGTGCCATGATGTGAGTTGGGTACCACAGTATCCGCAGAACTGGCGGCGGGTATTGGAGGCGAAGGGGGAGACAAAGGTGCGCAGGATGCTGGGGCGCTCTTCGTCAGGGAGTTGGGCGAACGTGGCGGAGGTGTACCAGACGAGTGGGACGCGAAGCCAGAGGGTCAATGGGCTGGCTGCATGGTGTCCTTGGACCACATGTTAGACATAGGTTCAATTGAGGCCTGGAAGAAGCGAGGTAGACATGTCCGTCTCGCTTGTACGCGACAGGGTGAAATGACGTCTTGCGCGGATCTACTCGCGATAGAGAAGGGAGGGGCTGACTTACGCGACGCAGAAGTAGAGTCGCACAGTATCTCAGCGAGCGAAACCTGCTGCTGGGGGATCTCAACGACGTATCGATTGCGGCCGCAGGCGCAGGAGCCGTGGAGAGTCTGGGGCGCCATGGTTGTCCTCTCACAGGACGTCACTCTAGGCTCAGGTGTTGCCCGGGGATAAGAGACGTAGTTGCCGTGGTGTGCTCGCGGTCAGCGAGAGGCAGAGGAAGGGCTTTTGGTGCGGAAGTGTTCGTGTCGCGGAGTCGTGATGTGCAATGCAAATCCGAAGCTCGTGTGAAACTTCGCCTGGGGGCGTGCGTGCGATTGGTCAGCCCTGCCAAGATTTTGAATCCGCTGGAATTCTCTACAAGCTTCCATCACCAAGACAACCACCATCATCAACACCAAGACCACCATCATCATCACCAAGACCACCATCATCATCAACACCAAGACCACCATCATCAACACCACCATCATTAAGACCGTCATCATCAACACCACCATCATCAAGACCGTCATCATCAAGACCGCCATCACCAGGACCGCCATCAACAAGACCGCCATTACTAAGGACGCTATTATCAAGACCACCATTATGAAAACCATCATCATGAAAACCACCATCATATGGTAGTTCTGAACTAGAAAAGGCTCAATTGCGTGACACTTCTTCAGAGGGCTGTCATAAGCACGCTCGCTCTATTTAGAATGCCATCTCAAATTGACCAACTCCGCCGCCTCCCCAAACACTCTCTGCATCCTCAGCACCAAGGTAAACCAGATATGGAACCCTCTCCAGAGGTCCCCTTCCTAGCAGGCCAAATTCATCGAATTCTGCCTTTATCTCAGGATTTGGATTCTCTTTCGATTTCATCACCCTAGTCCGTCCCTGTGACCCCCTAACGTGCACCCATACATCTCCATCCATCCAAACCCAGCTATCTGCCCGATACCAAGGGAATTCCGACGGCAGCTTGTAGATAATGTGATTCTGATCATACTCCCACGGAATGCAATCTAGACTGATCGTCTTCACAACCCTCCCTTCCATAATCTCATTCTCCAGTCTCTTCAGTCGCTCAGACGAAAGAACGCGTTTTCTCAGCGCAAATTCAAACTTCGAGATATACTCTCGCTCAATCTCGATCTGATGATTCGATCGCTCTGACCAGGCTTGCCATGTCAGATTGCGGATGATGTGAGGCTGTGAGCGGTTGCGGCATGTCCATTGGACCCACTGCTGCCAGAATGGTGTGGTGCCGACGTGGAGAACGAACCATGTGAGCCATGAGCATCCGGATGAGATATCGGCGATTGTTGCTTGCCAATTTGGCTTATGTGAGCCCAGAGGGGGATTTCCCCCCTCACCTTCACTTTCACTCTCGGTCTCGGGTTTCCGATACGGGCGAAAAACCCATAACAGAAGCCGCCAAACGTACAAATAATCCATCAAGTCTGAATCCTTCATTCTTAGCATCAACTCCTTCCTACACTTCAACACCACCGCTTCCCTCACCCTAATCTCCTCATTGCGCCTTTCGCTGCCCTTTCTCTTCCCCTCAATTCCTCCATTGCACCCGCTACTCTTCTTCCCTTCAAACATCCTCCAGCTCCCAACCCCATGCTCGCTGCACGCTTGATACGTACACGCTACTGACTGCCACATTCTATTTTTCCTAATCCCACCACCCATCTTCCCCAGCATCTTCTGCCTGCCCAGCTCCTCCAACCCCTTCGCATACACCTCCCTCGAAACAAGATAAAGACGCCGTAACACGCACCACCCATTCGCCACCCTCTGTCTCCAATACACTGCCTGCTCTCCCCTTTCCTCACTCGGGATCCCATACGGAAATCCGGCATTCAGGTATGGATATCGGCGCAGCTTATCTTTATCGAGAGCAATAGCTGCAAGGTGTAGGGGAATGAGGGATTTAAGCCAAGGAAAGGAATAGCCGGTTTTGGGCGGTTTGAGTAATAAGGTGCAATCTGGGAAGGATGTTTGGGCTACCCCCGGCGCAATTGTTTCGATGTATGCGACTATGACAGTGTATACCGGTTTTGAAGTTAGGCGGAGGGCGAAGAGGGAGGAGATGGAGCAGTTGGTAAGAACCAGGATTAAGATATCGTCGGGGAGGTCGTGGAGCCTCATGTCGGCCCTACTTGAAAGGAAGAATATGGAGTACAATGACAGCTTGGACTTTGGTGGCAGTGGTGGTATCGTACAGGGTCAAGGATCTTGTTTCCATGGATGGCCATATGGAACAAGAAAGCGGCAAACACAGCCGCTCGACACCTCAGAGAAATGTGCACCTCGAAACTAGGGCTAACACACACATCTATATTCCCTCCCAACCCGCTCACGTGCACACCCAACCAACCAGCGAATCGACGCACGCATGCATGAGCTAACCCCGCAAACCCAATTGGCGCGGACAAACCCCAGACACACAGTACCCCAATCTAGACTCTACGCCTTGGCTTTTCTCGTCGGAAACTGGGCGAGGCATGGCAGGATGCAGAAATCACACCATATTTTTGATGGTCATTATTGCATTCACGTATACATGCTTGGCAGCTATGATTATCCCCGAAACACTTTCCCTTCTTTAAAGGATAGGTAGGTTTCCATGATCGCCCGGAAAACAGGGATAGCCGTATTGTATTAAAAAAAAAGGTATAAAGTTATAGAAAGAAGGAGGGTATGTCATGAAACCCCGCGGCCACCACGCTAAACCACACTAATTTTACTACCACCATTTGCACCCCCAAAATCCGCCATAAACCCCCATTCGCCCAAAAAGGATACATAAGGAAAGCAAATTAACCCGGAAGGATCCCCATGAACGTTGGGGTTTCTTACGCCCTTGGCCCATCCAAAATTTCCGCTGTCGCAATTCCCTTCTCTACGCTCCCTGTCTCATGCACTCCCACACCCCGACCCTTCCCTTCCACCCTCACATTCGCAATCACACTCTCCACCGCCGCCTGCACGTCAATATGGAAGAACGGTCTGTTCAGTCCATGTAGCGTCGACAACTTCCCAGGGATAGCCTTCTTCTCACCCGTATGCCCAGTCTCTTCATCACCAACCTTCTTAGCAACACCCTCCTCCCCAATCGCCACATAAGAAACCACGGGATTCCAATGCGCGCGCGCACTATCCTTACCTCCCAATAGGTAACCGAACCCGGCAGCCGTCAACGCACGCTTCGTCCAGCGGTTATTAATACCCGCGAAATGCCACTCCACGGTATTCGGCGCGGCGTAGCGATCCAATTGATGGCGGACGTCAACGAGGCCTTGAACGGATGTTGTGTCGACGTTGTTTACGGATGAGAAGTCTAGGATGATGGCGCGGAGGACGGGGCGGTCGTCGTCGGGGTTGATTTGGACGCCGCGGCGGGGGCCGGGGTCGTTCCAGGGACGGTCCTGGAGGGCGGTTAGTTTGGTGAGGGTTTTGAATGTGTGTGTGAGAGTTTTGTCTGAAGGGTTGAATATAGATGGGTGTCAGGGAATTGCAAGTACTTACACCAAGCTTTTCATACCGATCCAAAATTGTCGGTCTCGAGTGCTTCTGCACGAATTGGGTCAAGTCGTCTAGATACTGCGCTTGGTTAAGGTACGTGAACCCCTCACTAAACCGATAAATATAAACTCCGGGATACGGTGAATGGACATCAATTGCCGGATTCGAGCCATCAGAGTGCGTGAGAGGGATATATGCTTCTCGACTGATTTTCTCGTCGACAGCGCCAGAGCCTGGACCACGGCGAAGCAAGTCGTTTGTGCTGCCGCGGTAGATATGTACCTTTCCCATGTGCGCGCCGTGGGCTTTGATGTGGCGGAAGAGGAGGAGCGCTGCGGATGCGGCGATGGTGAAGTAGATACCATTTTCGATGGTTGAGAAGATAGTGATGAAGACGCCGATGAAGAAGATGAAGACTTCAAGAGGGGAGGTTTGCCAGAATTGGTAGACAACGGCGGGAGGGGTGATGAGGTCGAGCACAGCGTGGATGATGATTGCTGCAAGCGCGGCGCTGGGGATGTAGAAGAAGACCGAGGTTAGGGCGTAAAGGGCCAGGAGGACGATGACAGCGGTGAAGATTCCGGCAAGAGGGGTTCGGACACCAGCTTTGGCTTTGATGGCTGTGCGAGAGAATGAACCGGTCGCAGGATAAGCGCCAAGGAATGGGCCGAATAGGTTGGTGAAGCCAACAGCAACGAGCTCTTGGGATGGGTTGATAACGTAGTTGTTGATGCGGCCGAAAGACTTGGAGATCGCGATGTGCTCCAGGATCAAGACAATAACGGTGACGGGGATGTCTGGGGCAACGGCAGAAAGAACCTCTGTATTGATGTTTGGAACGCCGTGGTGTTTGAATCCTAATGTTGTCAGAATGATTGCGGATAATCCTAGAAGGCATACAACCTACCCCGAGGTACTGTGCCTAGGATTTTGAATTTGGCCTTCTTAGCATCTTTGACATGTCGATTGCAGCCCCAGCTGATTAGAATATAGAGGATGATGACAAAGGCCATACGCAGAGTCGAAAGGAAAAACCAAAGTTTCTTCTTCGAAGGTACTTTCTTCGTTAGGACGCTGAAAAGAATGCGGAAAGCATAGAGCATAGCAAGCGCCGACACACCCAAAGCAGCGTCTAACTTCTTGGCCTCCGGAAGATGCTTCAGGGAATTGATGATCACTTTGTAAGTTGCTTCCCTGTTATTGATGTTGGGGATACCGAGCAATGTGGGTACCTGGCCGGCCGCAATTGAAATAGCGGCACCAGTCATGAATGACGTGATTGCGACCAAAGGAATGAACTCAACGATCCATCCTAATCGGGTCAAACCGATGAAAAGGAGCACGGCTCCAGAGACCAGGGCAAGACTCCTGGCTATTTGGTCTGCTGTTAGATTCTTGTGCTTTTTCTGGACTTTTATCACGATGTTGCCGACAATAGTGGACATGACGGCTACAGTCTAGGATATGTTAGTCGATACCAGAAATGGGTCGATACAAGGAGAACATACGCCAATGGTGATATCTTTGGAGGTCGCAAAAGCCCAGTAGAGTAGAAATCCAACAAAAGAGGTATACAAGCCATATTCGGCTGGTAGTTTAGCGAGGAGCGCATATGCCATGCCCTGAGGAATGACGACAAAGCCAACCGTGACACCTTCTCGAGTCAGCTCGAGCGCAGTATGGGAGTAAATGAGAACTTACCGGCGATGACGTCGCCCAAGAGCCATGTTAGGTTGTAATGGAAGATCCAATTCCAGAACGGGAAGAGAGTTCGAATATAGTGAAGGAAGCCGGCAGTAGTTGGTCGATATTGCAGAAGGAACTCTTTCGTCGTCGGCTCCGATTCAACATATGTGTCAGCCGAGTCAAGTGAGGCTGGACCCGAAGAAAGCGGTCCTCTTCGCTCCTCCCGGTTCTCAGTGTCGATAGAAAGTATCTTGGCTAAGAATCGTCCTGCCATTGCTGCGAATTCCAAGCTGCACCTACTTCTATAGAGGTGGAGGTGAATCAATACTTATAGAAAGGCTGGTGAGAGCGGTGATCGCCGAGCAGAATCGAGATGTGGACGCCCCAGTCTCTAGGTTTGTGCGAGTAGTGAGCACGGCGTTCAGACCACAACCACTGAGCTGGCTACAAATCCAGCAGATGGACGTAGACCGACAATATGCACTCAGCCGACATGTCACCGCAGACTTGGCGAAGGCGACTGGCGAAGTATTTGGCTGTGAATAAGGCGAAATATGCCACGGCTTGCGAATTCGATACGGTAACATTCCTTTTTCCTGGCCTCCTATGGCCAAGAAAACCCCACCATTTTGACTATTCTGAGCCTTATCCGTACGATCTGGAACCCAACCGCTCGTTTTTATATGGCGTGCTGGAAGGACAAGATATTGAGTCCCCTACTTGGGCCACCAAGGTCTTGAAAGGTCTGGGCGGATGAGGGGTAGCGAGAGGCTTCCGGAAGCGTCGCTCCGTGTACGGCGCAGGCCGAGCGAAAGTACTGCTGTGGAGGTTTCGAAAGTCGATACTCTTCCATGACACTGTCGAAGCTTGAACTTCGGAAACCAGAAAGTGAAGTCCTTTTGACTGCTGCTAATTTCGAGAGATGACAAACACAGTCGGACAATAGCTCAAGCAACGGTGTTCACCTCTCAACCACCTACCTTGGTTTGGTTTGGGCTACTGGGGGGTACGTGAATTTCCCACTTACGCAATCTTGCCATGGCATTGCGATATCGTGCTTAGCCGGTTGGCGTTCTCGGTACCGGCCTGGGCACCATGGGTCTCTCGCGCTGAGTGGTAGCGAGAACGACGGAAGAGCTTGCTTTTCTAAATAGCGAGGAGGCGTTTCCACGCGTCGCTGAATGGCTGGCAGGGAACACAATCAATTTTTATTGGGCACGTCGTCGTGTGTTCAGGGCATCAGGAGGGCATTGCAAGCTTCCCGGATGCTTGGTTCTGTGGTGTTCTTAGTCGCGATGCTTGTTTCGAGGTCCAATGGGTCATGTTCGTGTCAAATGGTAAGTTAGGGTTCTGTGATGGTAGATCTGATGTGTGAAGGCCGAAAGAGCGCGAGGGATTTATGCGCATCTAGAAAGCAAGTAAAAGCTAGCGGAGGAACATTGACGCTACTCCTCGGCCTGAGCTTTGGGTGCAGGGCGGCTTTTGAGCTGTCGAGCATTCAACACTTGTGGCGGTGAGTGTGGGTAAATAGCTGCTCTGGACTGATTGCATCATTTTGAGAAGATTGTCCTCATGTTCACTTACCCTTTCAGCTGTCTAAGGTTGCTTCCGCTTACGGAGACATGGAACGTGATTCGTGCTATGGTTGAACATGAGGAACCCGATGACATGTTCCTCTCGCGTGACCATCGCCACGGTTTACGAAGCTTATGGGTTATGGGGTACATGCGGTCGTGAGTGGGAAGATCATTGCGTTACCAGGTAGTTGGAGAAAGGAGGTGCATGCCGAGCTGTGGGGGGGGGGGTTTTGTTGGTGACATAGCGACCACCAGCATGGTGGGACACCTACAACGATTTGTGTGTTCTAATGATAGGGTTGATGAGAACTGGGTGGTACCTTAATTGCAGCTCTCTTGAGTGCACATAGGGGAATAATGTGGAGGTTGAGGATTGAAAAATTTGAAGCCACTCGAGTTCTCAGACGGAAGTACCAGTCAGTTGAACAAAATACGTCCCGAAATTTGCATTATGCATCCCAAGGCTCCCGCCTCGCCTTAGCATTGCCGGGGCCCTCTTCTACCCTGGAAGTCCTCTAGCGCCGTGTTCGGGCTATGTAGTCTTTTCGCGACACAAAGAAGTAAGCGTGGCCTCAAATAACCTTTCGCACTCATCCTTACACCTCAATCAAGATCCACAAATTTGGCTCCATCGACGCCAAACAACTTCATCAACCCCTGCTTTCCTTGAACAAAATCAATTTCATCCATGTTTTTCTGAATCTTCTCTCTGCTTTTCACGATTTCCTTTGCAATCTCCCTCCACTCCAGCTTCTCCTTCCCAACTGGCTGTATAGCGAATTCATCCACGCTCACCCGCAGCAACTTCCCGTCTTGCTTCCTCACCACCCCATCCACCAACACCAGCTCAATATCCGCAGGGCTCGAATGCAAGATGACCGCCGCAACGGGATCATGTTGTGCCGCAGCCACCATCGCCGGGCTCAACGCATCCCAGACCACTAGATCCGCGCGCATGCCGACTGCAATCTTCCCGACTTCTGTCTCCAGTCGAGCGGCCTCTGCGCCCTTGATGGTGGCTAGATTGAATGCTGCCTCGACAGACAAGCTGTCTGGTAAACGGCTCGGCGTTTTGCCCTGGTCATGGTAATATTGATTGAAATTACACCTCGCGTTCTGAAGTCCGAGTCTGGCTTCCGAGACGACAGATCCGGCGTTGTTGGAATGACAGTCAACTCCAAGGCTGGCATGCGATTGCAGTCCTCGCTCCGTGAACTTTCCCCTACTAACTGATCCACGCAGCTATGTGAAACTGCACACCTTTAAGCGGAGACCTTTCTTTAATATTCTCTAGCAAATCCCGCGTTCCTTGCTCTCTTGTTATTCTGCCTTGAGCTTGAGAAGTCAGGTCGACATGTGCTTCGTCCGTATATACGATATGATTAAAAAAACCTGAAGAGAGGAGCATAGAGATAAGTATCTCCATAAGCTGTTTGTTCCTCTTGATTTTTGTCTGATTATAGCCTTCTTGATAAACGCGTACTTGTACCGTCTACCTCCTTTAGTAAGCTCCTTTATTTTACGTTTTAATTAGCGCTTTCCAACAGGCAGATTATAGTATGCGATTTGAGCTTCGTAGGGTTGTTTTTGGACAGGATTCTGGGAAGGCGAGCAAAGCGTTTTGCACATCGATTTAGTGACTTTTGACGTGGGACCAAGTATCTCAGGCCTTGGCCGAAGCCTCCTCTTTGCTTCAGAACCCATATTCATATATTGATCTTTCCATAATTGGGCGCAAGACTCTGAGATTCCGCATTCAGCTGAAATGCGACTTAACGGAATTGATCCTTTACTACTCGTCAAAGCGTTGAAGAATTTGCATTTCCTGCGAGTTGTAGCTTCTCTTCCAGCTAAAGGTCCAGGGGATGGAGTGCGAAAAGGATTTAATCGCGTTGGTGGTGCCATGATTGAAGGTTGAAGTGTTTACGAAATCGCGGAAATCGCGTTTTGGTGGGGCTGACTAATTCGTACAGAATTCTGTCAACCACTGTTGAGGCCTCCCGCCTGCTTGCATAATCAATTAACAACACAATTTTATCACTTGCTTTAACACCATCCGTCCTGAGGTGCCCTTTTCGGTCCCTCCACTCTCTCTCCGCATGCCCAACTCCTCGTCTGGCACCGTCGACCCTTCTATAGCCAATTAATAACTTGGCCTTACCGACCTGAGAGCACGTGCAATGTTCTTGGCATAGAACACCGGCATTTGGTAGATCTGGACCAGCCTCTTCTGCTGTCGCGCCTGCGCAGCCTCCATCCACAGTTTCTAAACATCCCTTTTCGCACCACGCATCTTGTTTGATGATTTATGCTCTCTTTGAGACTACTCATCCTACGGGATTCGCATATGCGACGTCGCCCAAGCAACCTAAACACGACATTTCGCGCGTCTGCTAACCATGACGGTTTTGTCCAGATTGCAGATCATTCAGTCTGAACCGATTGGCGATGGGTTAGATACACCCTCTACCCATGAACGGGTTTGTAGCGTCGCATGGACCAGGCTCGTGCACGCAGTGGCGAAGGAATGTTATTTTCAATATAGATTACCACTTGGTATGTCCGCCACCTGCCTTAATAACTGCCCAACACTGATCTCTCATAGATGTGATGTACTTCCTGTAGTCATCAATTTCAATTTTCTCCCACTCCTCCTTAAGATACTGCTTTACCTCAGCGTTAGTCTTTGGAAAGCGCTTTGCCAGCCGCCACTTCAGCAGCTGCCACACGTTCTTCATGGGATTGAGATCTGGTGAGTTAGCCGGCCACCACCCCCTTTTAATTGCTTGAGCCTGGAAGGCAGCTGTAGTAGCCTTTAACGTGTGAATAGAAGCATTGTCCTTAAGGTAGAGAAAATCTCCTCTGTAGAATCCATCTCTATATTGTTGCCTGCGCTGGTACTCGTCCTGGAATGCTAAAACTAGAGGCAGGATATGTTAAATATACACCTTTGAGTCCACAGTGCCTTTTGCATTCGTACACCACTCCTTTTTAAAGAAGACTAGAGGTTCCTTTTTATATAATAAGATAATACTCCACACCATGCAGCTGCTAAAGTTCTTAAATTAAGGTATCAAACAATCAGGATGGAGACTCTCCTTAGCCCTTCGAGTGACGTACACCTCTCCTGCGCCAGTTTGAGCTGACATCTCATCGCTCTAGCTAACCCTTGACCACTGCTCCTTATTAAGCTACTGGTGCTGCTAGGCCTACTGCACCTAAGAGGCCTTCTGCGCCTCTGTAAGGAAGGGCTTTAGCGTTGCCTTCCCGCGATGATAGAGCTCCTTTTTAAAGGCCTTGACGAGCGTGCGACGGCAGACGTCGATTCCTAGCTCCTGAGCAATCTGGTTCCTAGTCTTCCGTCGCTGCTCAGCGGTTTTAGTAGCATGGCGAACAAGGAGGCGTTAAAATGGTGTGTTTAGTATAGCTAGTCTGCCCCTAGGCTTTGTAGGAGTACAAGGTGCCTAAAGACAATTAGACACGTTCTGCTGTGAGGTTCCTAGCTGCTGAGCAATTGCCGCTTGCTTCTATCCTATCTCTGCAAGAGTGTGGATCTTGATGCGGTCCTTGTACGACAGGCGGCGGTTTGGAGTTCTCAGCATGGTGTAGTAGACGAGCAGGTATGAGCCTTCCTTTTCGGAAGCTTGGATGAGGAAAATTTAGCAATAACAAAGGAAGAATAGAGATTTAGACGAACAAATCTCCCGTGCCGCCGACAATGTTCATACGGAGCACCGCGTCGGTCAGTTGCAAAGTCAGACAATGGCCGATAGGTTTGACATTCAGAAGACAGACGCCGACATACTAATTCTGGCTTAGCGACACCTTAAAACTGTGAACAGTAACAAAGAGGTAAACTTTAGCCCACTAACAACAGAACACAGCATTATAATATTGCATTAAAACATCTAGAATATAGTAATAGACCTAGTAAAATATATTTATTTGCCTTAAAAATTTAGAATATTTGCAAAAGTGGTGGAAAGTTTTATAGGCTAATTAGACATTAATCTAGCGCTTTTTTAAACCAATAAGAGAAAAGACTTGGCAAGATGTACAGTGAATAATAGAGATGTAGTAGATGATACAGATGAGAAAAATACCTTAGCTTGGTATTAGAACCTTATATAAACAGAAGTATTTTTTCTAGGAGCTTCTTGCGCCTTTGACGCACGGGCCTCGCTTATGAAGGCGCTACAAACCCGTTCATGGAGGGGGGTGTACCTTCCGCCAGAATTTAAAGTCAAACCACAAGGATCTCAGCGCGTCCCACGTCTTGATTCCATCTAACCAAGGTAATATCGATGGGCCCTCTGACATTTTTACATTGAAACCATAGTAGGACTAAAAGATCTTGCTGTTTACCTTATTGTGGAGTTGCAAGCTCTGCCCGTTGCTTGATTGCTCCTATCCGTCGCTGGTCGCGGTACCCTTTGTAGCGATCTTCTACGACTTGAACTCTCAACTGAGTCTGACAACTTTGACTTCAAACGCACCATACCCTTCCTCAGGGCTGTCCTCAACCATGAACCTGATGAAGTTATCTGGAACAAGGTCTACGACGCCGTTACTGAGTCTGCCCCCCCTCCCCGTCCTGCATTATCCTTCCCACAAACGCTATGGCTACGCAACATGAGCAGCTTCGCAAACTCGACTGAACACCGCAAATACGTAGACGACGTGCTGAAGGAGGAGCTGGGGCCCATGTACGTTGGGATTCCTGGTTTCTTTGAAGCCTTCTTTAGCGAAATCGCAGGCCTTGAGCTGGCAGTGCAGGCGGTATTTAAAAGGTGCAAAGCAGGGAATAATCCGATCTACTAGGAAGAGGGCGGCTGGCAGGGCTGGCCTGAAGAGGCGAAGGAAAGGGATGTCCTGCGTTGGTTTGCAGAGCTTACGCGCTAGTTTTGGACTTCGCGGAAGAGCATCTGCCCGCCTCTGGGGCTCGACGACGACCGCTAGCGCGGCCCCGCCGGCCCTTGCGAGGCTCCGCGGCTGACTGCGAGTTGGATGTTGGCTTTGTGGACGACCTGAGTGCTGGCGTGGACGCTAAATGCCACTGGAAGCAGATCCTTGTACTGGGAGAACTTAAGAGCAATCCATCGGCCGACGTAGCCTCTAAAGCATGGCTAGATCTGGGGCGATATGTGAGAGAGGTACTTGCTGCTTAGGAAAGTTGTCGCTTTGTCCTTGACTCGTGCGTAATCAGGGTAGGACTCCTCGATCGCGAGGATGAATTGGTATAGTACGCCTTTGTCAGGTAGCTGAAGCTTCATGTCCTTCAACTTGTTGAGTGAGGCACGGAACTTGTCCGTAAATTTGAGCGTGTTTGTGCAGTCCGCGCAGCGGAGCTTGGAGAAATCAGTCCATGCTGTATAGGCCTCATGGAGGCCCTCGCGATAGCGTCGAGTGATCTCCTTGTATTGCTCTGCTGCGGTATGGAGGCCTTGGATTGCTTCGTAAACCTCACGGGGAATCGAGGTAAGGAAGGTCATATTGAGAGCTGCGTCGAGTCTGCCCCAATGCTTGATCCTTTCCTTCTGCTTCTCTGCAGACTTGATGATGTGTTCATTGATCGATTGACGATCGTCGTCAAATGCCTTACGCTCGGCCATGAGCTGATGGTGCTCGCCGTTGTGTGGGTCCAATGTTGATACATCGAGGGCCCCAGGCTCGTCAATATTGCCAGTGTAAGATGGATTGGATGGTCGTGTTTTCTCGCCAGTGAGAACCTCTGACGCATTGTGAATCTGCGAGTACAGGGTAATTGCAGCGTCCCATTTCCAGAAGTTCGAGCCAGATGCGTCAAGCTTCGGGACGACTGCTTGTGCGTCGTAAATGCCCATGTTGGGTGTGACGTCGCAGTGAGTTCGTGAGCGGAAGCCTCACCAACGCTGGGCTGCGTCGCTCGTCAATTGAGTGTGGCGAGAGGCAGACGTCCCAGGTCTTTTGTTGGTGAGTTGATCCGGGTTCATAACCTGATGAGAAGCATGATTGTGATGTGAACTTGTTGTTATTGTGAGCTATCAGAGCTGACTATATAGTAGGAACGAGATGAACAGACGCTAGTCCTAAAGAGGTACGCATGTCACTCGTACCTTCGAACAGATCCAGCTTTTAGTAGTTTTAATTCCTCGTAGTTATTGCTGAATTTTTATGCGATTTCTAAGATACGATACTCTTTGACATTGTATCTTGCCCTCTTGATCACTAAAGCAACCCCAGCCCCTGCTAGCCAATCATACTGCTAATTACCCGCCTCCACCTGGAAGCCATCTGAGTCGAACCACTGTAGTAAGTCAGCCTTACTCTGCGCGTTGACTTCCTCCTTTAGGAATTCCGGTTTAGCAGTACGAGTGCTGTAACAGCTTCTCTTTGCAAGGAAATAACAGGTTACGCATATAAAACTTACAACAACAAGCAAAATTATAAAAGGCAGACTATATAAGTAACATGCAGGAAAAAGAGTAACCAAAAACGCGAATAACCAACTAGACAGATAATAAACAGCAAAAACAACAAAGACAAAGTAACTTTCCAAGCACTAAAGCACTCATGTAGCAATCAACAGCGCTCCTCAGGATGTCGCCCATTCAACCGTGCCGTTCTGATTATAACGGTAATATCTCCTATGCTCCTCAGACCATTGCCAAGGATTGAACACTTCAGTGCATTCAATGGCAGCCTCCAGTGCTTCCCTCAGTTCCGGCAGTTTGTTCAGCAAGGCCTTCAAGGCTGCGGTCTGTTCTTGGCCACTAAAAGTCAAGCACTTCGCTTGAACCAATCCCAGTAGGACCCTGATATCGCTGAGGTCGGACTGTTCCTTCAGGCTCCCACCTCGCTGGTGCTGGGAGAGGATCTTTTCTCTCAAAAGCCAACGAGGACTGAGGACTGCAACCGTCGCTTGCCCCACATTCAAATTGATGCGGTCATTGTCTGGCCTAGAAAGGTCGTATTGGGGGCGATTGGGCCAACTCTGGAAATCGAATATCTCGACTTCTACAAGCTTTTCGAGACCGTTGTTTCCAGTGATACGTACGGCTGGCACGAATACGCCATACCCGGCATCTTTCTTGACAAAATCCTGAGAATGGTTCGTGTAGAGTATTTGCGAAATACGATCAGCGTCAATCTGTCTAGCTGGATCAGCTTGAATAATCACATCGATATCTTTGGTGCCGCGATACGGCCGGTGGTGCCGGAGGAAGATCAGGGAGCAGCCAGCGCCCCCGATGATACCAAATGTTACGTGATTATGTTGGAGAGACTGCGTAAGGATGCTCACAGCACGTCGAAGTTCTTCGCTGCTGAGGGTATCTGCAGACATTGCCACTAAAGAACGAAATCGTAAGTTTTGGTTAAGCAATGTAAGGATTATCCACCCATCTCGGTAGAGGTAGTGACATACCAAAAATTGGGATTTTCTTAGGAATGGGTCTTGAAATCACCCTCAAAGACGGGAAATGGGCGAAGAAAGCTGGGAGGATGGTGCAGAAGTCTGTTGTTAAATATGAAAGGGCCTTGTTTGGACAGTCTTGCTGATTCTCTATCGTAGCTGTTGGGCTGGGCTGGGCTGAATTGTGTTCTACTGCTCTAACTGAGGCCATTTTATATTCTTATGACAAACTCCTTCTTCCTAACGCATTGTGAGACAGCGCAGATTATAGCGTTAATAGATCCAACGCAGGAACTTTTCCGCAGCGCTTAAGATAGAAAACCAGATGACCAAGTGATAAGGTCCTTTCCAGGATTAACGAAACAAGCTGCCTTGAATTAGAATTGCCAAGAGGTCTTCTACTTGCAACACCTAATGATTTGAGATAATTTTCCGGAGTTACAATCGACTCCCGGCTAGGGCTGGCGCGAAAGGGGCATGTGATGGGTTTGGATACTGTGCCGCACGGAGTGCTTATGTTTCAGGCAGCAAACAAGCAATGGATAGAAAACCATTAGCTAGCACTGTTAGATCATCTACGTGCTGACCCAAAAATTGGTTTATTCACCTCTGTAAGTTCAAACTAGCTTTGTCCTTGACTCCTGAAGGAACAGCGCGCGGAAATTGAACTTGCCCCGCTAGTAGCAGATGTGAACACGGTTACCACTGGCAGAATTATTATTGGATTGATCGATTAGAGCGCGGCAGCTCCGCCTGAAGTTAGCGCTATACCCATCTCTAGAGGCTTTCGCAGTGACCCTCCATGTAGGTATCTATTGGAGCATTCATGCAGGGACCCTGGTGGTGATCCTGCCTGCCCTAGTCAAACTCTTTCTTAAGTTTGCGTACATGGTAGCCGAGCATGCTGGCGGCAGCTGAACCATCGCAAAAAAAAAAAGCCCAATGTTAGCATCGCTCCCTAACGAACCATTAGGTACCAGTGACCTGGAATTATATCTAAACTAAACTGTTATCTCCATACCGTCATCAACGGGGCTTCTTAGCATGCTGGTTCGTATGGTATGCGATCCTCTCCATGACGAGCTTGTCAAAAATAAACTGAGCATCTGATAGAAATCCCTATCCTCTACACCCTCAGGCAAGTCGGGACCTCCATGAGGACGGGGATTGTCGATTTTCAGAGGATGCCCATCGGTGGGTGGCCCGGACGGCGGCGGAAGAGGCGGTTTGGCACTTGATTTCGAGTACTTTGTGTATTTCACGAAGTCAATATCATTTGACGGCTTCTTGGGACTACATCTAAGAGCATCACGATAGACTTCTGGTGTTCATCGACGGCTACCATCTGATTGGCCATCCCAACGTGGCTCGTGTACGGGCGCTGTTAGCCATGGAGAGATATCTCTGCGTTGTACGCTTCTCTTCTTCTGCATGCTTTCTTTTGTTATATAGGAACACAATACAAACACGTTAGTTGCCTCTTGCCTATTCCCTTACAAGTCGTGCAAGTTTAGTGCCGGTGTTTGGAACCTCTTTGTGTTCGGAAACCATATCGCCGAGCTGGGCGTCGGCGCCTGACAAACGATCCCCTGCGCATTTGAGATCTAATTGGTTGAGCATAGCAGTCTAACGTGGCGTCGCGCTAATGCTTAGAAAAGGCTAGCGGCAGCTCAGGCAGGTAGCTGAGATAAAGCAAGCTGTTTTCCGCTTCCACTTTCGTGTAGCATCTTTACCCTACTCTGCAATAAAACCCACTGTCACGCGGTCTTCATGTGTTCAACTGCCAGGAAACATAATTACAACCATCTCTAGCGCCAGGCTATAACCCGCATTCAGCTAGTCTTCTACTGCTCGCACTGCTACAATGGCTTTCGAATCTGTCGTTCAGGCGTTGCATCCTGTCAAGGTAGTTGTTTGGGGCGAACAGGCGATAGGCTTTCTCGGAGCGGGGACACTACTCAATGTACGCCTTCTCCTACGCTTGCTAATAATTGTACTAACGAATATAACCTAGAGCTATATGCTGATCCCTTCTGAATCTGATTTCGACCTCGCCGCACAGAAGTTGGTTGAGGCAGGTTTTCGCCCCGCCCTATGGTCGTACGGTATACTCGATCCACACCTCCTTCCAGACGACGAGATAACTCGACGGATTAACCCTATGGAAATCCCTGGATACCGGATGCTGGATGACAATTCCGTGCGGTTCCAATTTCCAGCAGGGTTTTCTGGCTCTGAAAGAGTTGTATTGCTTCGAAGCACGTATGTCTGCCTTACCCCTCCAAACGATCCGTTATCGATGCAGAGATTCCATTGCGACAAGAATTTGTATTATCCCGACAAAGCTCTCCTCCTAGAGAGCTTCATCAGGACTCTCCTCCAAGACTCTCCAGGCTTCTGGCGCGACACGTTGGGGGTTTGGGCTATATCCTATGTGTATGGTATACTGATGGTTGAAGACACCGTGCTTGATTCTTGCGACGAAGAAAGTGTCAGGTTATGGTTTAATGAAAAGATTCGCCGGGGAAAGGGTGGTCTAGACAGAACTACAGTCTCCAAGAGAGTGGGTAAAGGACAAGCCCTTACTAAGTAAACTAAAGGCCTTAGAATTTAGCTAATCTATATTATCTATACCTGCTAGCTCTTACCTAATGCTCTTCTCTAATGTTATATATTGTGAGGACTATAGGCAGGAAGGCTACCTAACTGACCATCATCTTCTAACTAAGAGGCCGACTCCGCTAAGGATTGCGAGAGATGATGGGATTCTAAGCCTTGCGAAAGCCCAGAGCCTTGCAGGAGTGGTGGGACACCAAAATCTAACTCAGGGGGCAAATGATCAACAGCTAAGCAGAGTCTTTTAAAGTGAGTTAGCATCCACGCATCATAAACATTCTTCGTGAATTTGTGCGCCGTCCATTTCTCATTCCCCTCTAGAGCCGTGAAGCTGAACTCATGGATCAGGTGGCAGTAGAAGGTAATTTTGGCCCCATCAATCACAGCGTAGTGACCGTAGATCCGGATTGACCGATGATCGTGCGAGACGGAGAAGGCGAGGATTTCCGATGGATCTCCTTCTCGCGCTTGACGAGCCGGAAAAGCTCGACGACGGCCCTTACTGCGAGCGTCATGCTGTGCGCATTCTGTCGGTCGGCGATGTCAAGCGCCACAGCGCCACACCTGACTTCACAGGTGAGGAACGGGAAGTACATATAGTACGTGGCCATGAAGAAGGACTCGAATCAGCGAAAGTATTCATTCCAGAAGCTTCACGCTGATTCGGTGCACGAGCCACAGGCCGTGCGACCCTAATATCCGTGCCAAGGCTTTGCTGACATCAGCAAAGTACAAAGGGAGGATAGGCGGGAAGTGCGACGCCAAGAGGGCGGATAGCGGATCTATAACCGTAAGAGAAGCGAGAGGAGCGTAGGTCAGTGAATAAGCGGGGAGCGTGTTCAAATGCCTAAAATCAACTTGAGGTGGGCATGAAGCGTTTGGAATAGGCGCGAGGAGTGCTTCGTGGAGGGGGAGGGGAGGGGAGGGAAGATAGAGGGAACGAAAGAGTGCGCGGGAAGGAGAGTGGACGTCGCGGGTCAAGGCCCTCTTATGTGTATATATATGCACTGCCTGGGAGGGGCGGAGCTCGAGAGTGCCAGAAACGGCCGCCCAACAGAGAGCGTGCCGTGCCACCGCGATGGGCGACCACAGTGCCAGGAAGCGCGCAGGCACGTCTGGACATGGCTCATCTTCGCAGGCTCTCGGGCGCCAGAGTGAGCAGGCGGATCCAGGGGGGAACGACGCCATATTGGATGAAGGAAGAGAGGGCATGGATAGGCAGCACCAGGGTCAGTCGACTGCGGTGTGGGCGTTGGAGGGGAGAGTTGGTGCTAGCTCCATCGTCACCAAGACCATCGCTAACGTAGGGCGAGGGCCACGACGCGGAAGCCCAGAAACGATACATGACATAAGCAGGTTTTAGATACGGGCGGTCAGGACTCGAGGTCGGCACGGGAGAACCACGAACACCGACCAGGGCTTGGCGGGCAGCCCAAACGCCCGCCGTGGAGACTTTCCGTCAAGGAACGAGTCGTCAAAGCATACCGCCCGACCCATTGTCATCTGCAGTTCTGTGCTCGGTGTCGAGCTCACATGTGCACCAGCCTTCTTTAATGCTTGGACATCTTCTGCCGAACATCCGTTCATATGCCAGAATAGAAACCTCGAGTCAAGGATATCCAGTTTTTCAAATTCGCGCACGACACTTTCGCGAGCCCCGAGTTGTATGCTCGAGTTAAAGTGCGAGGTGATCGTCCTCACCCTTGCATCTCCCACCTTCTTAAACACCATTTTAAGAACTTCTGCGGGAAGAAAGAACAGATCAAACGCAAATCCCAAGGTAACTCTTCCGTCTCCGAACGGCCCTTGAGCAGCTAGGTCTCCAAATGTCTGCATTACCCAATCTGGCAGTGGATTATCAAGCGTCAACGGGTTCCAGCGTGCTATACGCATAATAGGCGTGTAGCAAAATACAGAGCGTATCCCCGATGTTACTGTAGCAGCGATTCCCATTTTTGCGTGCTCTGGCGAGTACGTCAGATGGGCATGGTCAACGACTGTGGTTGTGCCGGCAGCGAGAGCCTCCTGCATTCCAGCAAGTTGACCGTAGAACGTGTCGAGGGGGCTATATTGGAAAGATTGTGCGTTGCCTAGCGAGGGGTGAGCACGCTGATATGTAGACGAAATCTGGGCCTAGTTTTGGGCGTGAAGTACGGACCAGTAAGTATGTAATCTAGCAGCAACTCGTTCGCATGCCGACCCTTCAATTGCGTTTGCCAGCCATGATGGTGAGTATCGATGAACCCAGGAGTTATAAGTTTATCAGTACAATCAAGGACTTCCACATCCGGCCCAACGGCGATGTTTTTTCCGATCTAGGTTATCTTGTGGTCTTTTACGAGGATTGAGGCGAGTGTTGGTACAACGTGGTTGTTAGCATCGTGAAGGAGAGCCACGCCATTCTCTAGGAGGATGGGTTTGGAGGACATAGTGGGAGGAGATTCGTGTCGTGTGGAGGAATTAGACTAGGTAGAGAAAGGTAATAAAGGTGTCTTGGAATAGATGGGTTCGAATAAGTGTAAGTAGGTTGTGACAATCCACCTATTGAAAGGAAGGAGTATCAGCGTCTAATATATCACATCCTCGCTTTTCTACTTTCCTAGTCTCACCATCGATTATTTTGTCATCCAGACGGTGTTACTGCTGATTCCTTGTTGGTATACCGGCACAACCCTTCTCACTTCGATGTAGACCGAAACCCGTGACGTTACTTCGTACTGGTCAATGAACAACACTCTTTAAGTTAGAACTCTGCAAGAACTTCTCTTCACCAATCTCTTTCGAAGTTGAAGAGGAGCTTCGGAGCTTCAGCCCGCAAGTCTAGGCCGCTGACATTGCAATGCTGACCATTGTTTGCTTGGCTTTTGGATGCCTGAACCCGCATCTGGATAGCAGGTTTATTGAACCCCTCTTTCTCGCACTTTCGGGAGGGGGAAGCTAATGTCCGAGACCTCCGCAAATCTTCTTCAAATACGACTGCAATATATGCTACGCATTTATTCTGGACCGGATGTTATTCAATTCCAAGCCTAGTTCCTTGAAACAGAGGATCAACGTATATTCTAGGGTTTCCAAAGAGTAATTAAATCATAATTCATTACTCCCACGAGAATCTCGATCATTGTGTGAAAAAAACGTCGCGCGCCTTTCCTAGTAAATCATCAGCGCTTTCCATATCGAACCCGACGGCTCCATCCGTTACATCCCTTGCACATTCACCATTAGTTCTACCTGCACCTACACCGACAGCCCCCCAAATCAGCCCCTCCTTTCTCAACCCCTTTGTTGTACCCTCCGCTGCATCGCGACCGCAAGTTTCGCATTGTACCAGAGCCATCACATCCCTCAGCACCGTAAACAGTGGAACTGTAACTAAAAAGAATAGTACCATCTCCATCGTAACAACAACCAAATATGCAGAGTACCTAACCGTTACCTTTATCACGCTACGGTCCTCGAGACCACTTGGTTGATTCCGAGACTAGCTAGTGGGATCGTGCGGGCTTCGCCATGAGGGGCACGACCTAGCGATATGGGAGTTGGAGGATGTAGGTTTAGCGTTGGTGGGTGTGCTGGATCGAGGTAGAGACACGAAGACCGCGGTAGGTGCAGATTCGTTCGAGGGAGCAGGCTCCAGGTCGAATTCTATGCTTTTCGCTTCTTGCCATTGAAGTTGGAGTATTTGCAGAATTATTTGCTTCTTTAAAATCTCGGGTAACTCAGTGCTAAGTTTCTTACCACTAAACTGCAATACCTCTATATGTTCTAGTATCCTTGTCACTACTGATGGGGGAATCTAGTAGGTCGCGTTATTTGTGGCGGGTGTGTGTTTAACAGCTCGGGCATGGCAGCGGAATGCTAAAGAGCTGGTTTGGTTGGAGGCTCAGACGGCCGCAAGTATTGAAGGTCGCAGTGAGAAAAGATGTGTGCAGTAGTCACGCATGGCTCTCACGCATGGCTCTCACGATAGTCGCATGCATGTCACGATAAGTCTCATGTTGTCAAGACTTACCCCTTTTTTCGCATATATATAGACCCCTAGGTGCACTCCTCTAGCAATCAATCCAGTTCCTCCCATCTCCGTGCTCCCACAAGCTCTACAAGAGAGCTAGTAGCATTGTGGTAGTTTGTAATGAGGGCCACATTAATAGGGCTTGAAAGGAAGGCACTCCTATAGGCCGCTACATAGCGGCATATACTCAACTGCACTCGGTTTCTATTGAATTTGAAGGATAAGGCGCCGCCGTTTATGGTTTGATATATTATTTGTAGCCTTGCAGGGGGGATGAGTATGGTACTGTAGACTGAGGATCTGAGAAGTTGCGTGTTTTGTGTAGTCTTTGAGATGCTAAACTCAAGGTTAATTGGGTAGTCCGTCGTAGAACCCCCATGTTTGATAAATTTCAATCACCTGCTTTAAACTAAATTAAAACATAATTACTGAGGTACCCACTAGCTCTATTTACTAAATATCTCGTCGAAACTATCTTGAAAAACACAAGTTACGGGATCCACAAAAATATTAAGACACTTCAAAGCTTAATCTCTAAATTCTCCATTTGCCATTTAGTTAGAGCTTCAAGGGATGAGAGTATGTAAGGATGCTGAGAGCCAAATATTTGCTTTCCTAGCGGGAGGAATCTTTCCATGAGCAAGATAGCCTCATCGTTGCGGCCCTGGGACTTCAAGGTAAATGCGAGATTGTTCATGCTTGCTAGCGTGTCTGGATGCTCCTCCCCAAGCACCTTCTTTCTCCTGTCCATCGCTTGCACCTCTAGCTCTTCGGCTTCCTTCCACCGGCCTTGGTTCCGGTACGTTGACGCTAGATTGGCCATACTGGTCAGGGTGTCTGGATGCTCCTCCCCAAGCACCCTCTTTTTCCTGTTCATCACTTGCACCTCTAGCTCTTCGGCCTCCTTCCACCGCCCTTGTTTGTGGTATGTTGACGCTAGGTTGGCCATGCTAGTCAGGTTGTCTGGATGCTCCTCCCCAAGTACTCTCTTTCTTGTATCCATCACTCGTACTTCTAGCTCTTCGGCCTCATTCCACCGACCCTGGTTTTGGTACGTTGACGCTAGGTTGGCCATACTGGTCAGCGTATCTGGATGCTCCTCCCCAAGCACCCTTAAGCTTGTGTCCACCACTTGCACCTCTAGCTCTTCGGCCTCCTTCCATCGACCTTGATTCCAGTACGTGAACGCCAGGTTCCCCATACTGGCTAGCGTGTCTGGATGCTCCTTTCCAAGCACCCTTCTTCTTGTGTCCATCACTTGTACCTCTAGCTCTTCAGCCCCCTTCCACCGTCCTTGGTTCCGGTACGTTGACGCTAGATTGGCTATGCTAACCAGGGTGTATGGATGCTCCTCCCCAAGCACCTTCTTTCTCCTGTCAATCACTTGCACCTCTAGCTCTTCAGCTTCCTTCCACCGCCCTTGGTTCTGGTACGTTGACGCTAGGTTACCTATGCTGGTCAGGGTGTCTGGATGCTCCTCCCCAAGCACCCTCTTTCTTGTGTCCACCGCTTGTTTACCTAGCTCTTCGGCCTCCTTCCACCGACCTTGGTCTTGGTACGTTGACGCTAGGTTGGCCATACTGGTCAGCGTGTCTGGATGCTCCTCCCCAAGCACTCTTGAGCATATTTCTAGTTCGTCCTCTTGAAGCTCTTCAGCCTCCTTCCACCACCCTTGGTTCCGGTACGTTGACGCTAGGTTGGCCATGCTAGTCAGCGTATCTGGGTGCTCCTCCCCAAGCACCCTCTTTCTCGTGTCCATCACTTGTACCTCTAGCTCTTCGGCCTCCCTCCACCGACCTTGGTTTCGGTATGTTGACGCCAGGTTGGCCATACTGGTCAGCGTATCCGGATGCTCCTCCCCAAGCACTCTTTGGCTTGTATCCAGCACTTGCACCTCTAGCCCTTCGGCTTCCTTCCACCGCCCTTGGTTCCGGTACGTTGACGCTAGGTTGCCCATGCTAGTCAGGGTATCCGGATGCTCAGCCCCAAGCACTCTCCCTTTTGCTTCCAGCCCACGTTGGTGGATTGCACAAGCTTCACCATACCTCCCTTGCCAGTCTAAGACTAGCCCAAGGTTATTAAGGCTGCTGAGCGTATCTGGATGCTCGGCTCCTAACAGACTTTCCCTTGCTCTAAAAGCAGCAGAGCCCATTCGCTGCGCTATGTCATACTGTCCCATCTCTCCTGCATACCACGCCGCTTTAAAAAGCACCGACGCCCATGCCTCTTGTGCCTTTGCACCCTTCGGTTCGTACTCTACAGCAGCTAGGGCATGTGGAAATAGCGCTTGGCACACCGTCCAGTTCTCGTGCCGCCCGACCGGGTAGTTGTCATTCATGAGCATTACATACGTTCTCTTCCAGTCCTCTAGCTCATTATACAATTCTAGCCACTTCTTTGTTGAGAATTGCACCAGGCGATGCATCTCGAACTCGCTTCCGTTGGCGCTCATCCCAACTAGGGAATAGCTGGTAAGTGTATGGATATCGTCGTCAAAGTCAGCCTCTAAGTCGGCGGCCGGCTGGTATCTGCCTCGAAGAAGCAATTCCGGAATGCCTTGGCAGTCGAGGAGACTCATCAGCGATAGAAGCCGAGCGGCCGTCGGTGACTCTTTCCGGATATATTCGAACGATATCTGCCAAGTCGCGATGATTGAGTTGGATGCTCTGCCGTCTCTCCGACTGTCTCCTACGTCCTTCTTTAGTAGACGCGCTCGATCATGGTCGCTTCTGCGAACCTCGTCCAAATATCTCGAGACAGTCATACGCGGCGCTCTCTGCACAATGTAGGCTGCTGCCTGAGTTATGGCGAGGGGCATGTAATCGAGGGTTTGTAGCAACTCAGTCACATCGCGATCATCGGTATCGAAGCCAAGCTTCTTCCGGAGAAGAGCCAGCGCATCATCCTTCTCCAATGGCTTGATCTCTATGATGGAGTTCTGACTCCCCGTTAATCTAAAAGCTACGTCTCGACTCCGGGAAGTTACGAGAATTGACCCGTTTGCGGATTGCGGTAGGAAATCCGACAGCGGCTCCGCCGACTGGCTTAGATTTGTAGCTCCGGTGACCAGTGTTCCGTGAGCCGGAGGGAAGAATACACTCAAGTCATCAGCACTGTCGACTACCATCATCCACCGCCCGTTCGACTTGTCGCACAGCCAGCTGCGGACGAGCCGTAGAACATCTGCTTTTGGATTGTCCCAGCCATCTATCTTTGCAGCCTCAGCAATTCTGCGGTAACCTTCCTCAAACCTCGCTTGCGTGCTTGCATGCACCCAGAATACCCAGGTTTGTGGCGATACGTCCTGGACATTGTAACAGTACTGAATTGCGATCTGTGACTTCCTATTGTATTGTTAGAACAATAGAGCTATCGAACGACAGAGGCTCACCTACCCTACGCCACCAAGACCCACAAGTGCGGCGCGACTGGACTGCCCTGTGCACTTTTCGCTAATCCAAGTTAAGATGTTGGGGCGGTCCATGAAGTCGCGGTCTCTGTTAAAGGGCACATTTGAAGATGGTTTCGGTTTTTGGTTTGATGGGTTTGTTAAAGGTGACGGGGATGAAACAAGCGATTGGTTTGTGGAAGACTCTCTTATCTCTTTCTGAAGCCGTTTCATCGCCTTCTCTTGACCTTCGCCATAAATTAGTGGCATATGAATGTTGAATATGCCCAGCAAAGAGTAGGCCATATCCTCTTCGCGTCTCGTCTCTCGTCTTCTTGTCCATGACATCCGTTCGTTGATGCTGAAATGGGACAAAGAGCTTCCTTGGAGGGCTTTAACCGATATGCCTGTAGTGTTGGAAATTTCTTGCACAAGTGAACCTTTGTCACCAAGTAGATCGCCTTCCATAGAGAAGAACTCAACAGCTGTGGGAGCAAGGAGCTCTTGCAGTGTCCACCCTCGGGTAAACCATCTGCTCTTCTGGAAAGATTGGTCGTTGTTGGCGAACCCACTGGTTGAGACATCGGAGAGATATACGTAACATTTGGCTGATTCATAGTACCAGCGAAACATGGAGTTGATGGCTTCTGAAAGCTCCGCGCTACTTGACTTGTCAATAGAGCAGGTGTCCACCCAGAAATACTGGAGGTTGTCTTTTGCCGCTTGTTTTCTGCAAAAGGCAAGCTTGCAATATCCAGGCTTACTCTTGCCTATACCTTTCTTCAAGTCTTTGAAAGTAACCTCCTCGTGATCCTCTCCCCAAGTATGCGAAAGAATTGCATATGGCGGAATATTCTTGCCAACATGTTCAATCAGGCTGAACTCACCGTCCTCTTCGAGCCGCAGAAGACGCATGATGAGAGGACCGCTCGCAAACTCTTGCTAAGAAAGTTACTGGAATAAATCCGAGTAAGTGAAGCACGAGTTGGGCGGTCGAAGCACTACAGCTGTGTTGGTTAAGAAGAAATTGAAGAGAGGTTGGCTTAGCTGCAAGGGCTTGACGTCACGTGGCAATATAACCGAGCTTAGTCAGCGAAGAACGTCGCCTGATCTTACTTATCCCTTTTCTTGCATATATATAGACCCTAAATACACTCCTTTAGCAATTAACTCAGTTACTCATCTCTGCGTCTGCCAAAGGCTTCACTCATCTTTTAGCGCTTTCTAAGCTTGCTGACCCCCCAGCTTCCAAGTGAGACTGGCACTAGGGTGATTTCTTCGTCAGAGAGAGGAGTCGCGATCTATCTCACAGGATTTAGCAGATTCGCCAACAATCAAGGGAGGCGATATTTAACCCGAGAGGATGTACAAGTGATTGATATGTCTAGGCACTATAGATTACTGCTTTCTGCAGGAGACCTTCACGCTTATATCTTCTCTTTCTATCGGCATCAGAATTCCTTTCGTTGGCGTTTTCTCATCCGTTGTTGGTACCTTGCCCTCGCCTAGAACCTCTACATTGTATGCGCCAAGCAGCTCCCCAACAAAGACCGCAAACTCCATCCTTGCAAGTACCCGCCCTGGGCAGTAACTACTACCACCGCTGAAAGGTTTGAAGTTCTGCGAGCTTGATAGCTTTTTATCATTGAAAAACCGATCCGGATTGAACGAATTGACATCGGACCCAAATACTTCTGCGTCGTAGTGCAAGGGACGGAAAGGAATGAAGACGACAGACTTGGTAGGAATGACGCGCTTTCCGATCGCTACTGGGGCGAGAGTAAGTCGGATTGAAGATGAGGCGCTGTAGTAGCGAAGAGACTCGTGAAATATGGCCGTGATATGAGGCGTTTCGCTACGAAGGTTGTTAAGATAAGATTCAGTAAGCTGGTGCGAGTTGAGGAGCTGCCGTGCTCGCGAGACCTCGGTTTGGATATCATCTCGAATGGAAGAGCTCGTGAGAAGATGGGCTGTAGCCCAATATGCGGCTTTGTATGTGTTCGTGTTGATACTTCAGTGTGGTAGTCAGCTATCATGGCCTCATGGTCAGGTAGAGGGCTACTCACATAAAGATCAACAAGTTCATAATCTTCGCTAAGTCATCGATCGGGGTTCCTATCGCCAGCTGCGTCTTCTCTACCATATCTACCAAATACGCCAGCTCCCCTCTCTCCCCTCGAGGCAACTCCAGCCATCTCTCCAGTGACTCCTCCACTCTCCGCTTGTTTGCAAACATCTTTTTTGAGAATGACCACTTGAACCATAACTTCCAACTTTCATCATCAAACACGATGAACTTGGTTACAAAATCAGGGTCCACCTCGAGGAGTTTCTCACCAAAGAAGGTGCGTATGCCTGCGCTCAGGAAAACCCTTTGCATGAGTGGAAGTAACCTGAATACCCCATCTCTCATATCCGTGCGTGCGACTTCCTTGGCTAACTCATCTGCAATCAAGCGTGAGAATTTAGATTCAACGGTTCTGTATTCTTTTCCCGCAACTTGAGCTTTCCAGAAATCCATACTCAAATCGCCCAAACTCTTCAAACCCGGATTGGACACGCCAGCGATTGTCTGCATCCTATCTTCCTCTTTCGATTTAGGCAGTTGCCAAGCTGTCCGCATTGTTGTTTCAGATATGCGAAATGTTCGTTGCAGCTGTTCGACAATCTTGATAAACGACATGGTAGTTGTGTTTCGATATACTGCAGTGCTGTCATCTGGATGCAGGATGAAATATATTTTGCGATCTTTGAGTTGAAGTGCGAAGGGTTCGCGTGTGTTGTTGAGATATTCTCTGTATGTTGTAAGGCTTCAGGGCTTCCACTGGGTACGCTTAATAGATTTAGGCGTACTTCGCTTGCATGATCACATCATGCCCACTCCTCACGTATGCGAAAGCATGGCCAAAGTATGGAATCCAGTATGGTAGCTCACTTGGCTCGTCTGGATGTAAGAGTGGTCGTATCGTGAATTTCCATAATCGGAAAGCAACGAGAAACAAGATCACGGACGCGAAGGCATATGCAAAACCTAATGGGAAAGAACAGAGTTGAGCGTGTAGGTGGGCGCTAAGAGCTCCAAAAACCATCGTTCAAGTCTCTAGAGTCCCTCTCGAAGCAGATGTTCAATGATGTCCGTTGTCTTCAATGAAGACTAAGTTTCAGAAGACGTTAAGACGTATACGACTACTAAAGAGCTTGGGAAGGATGCAGATGTGTGGAACACAGGCAATGTACAAGCACTGCGGGGACAAAACGCCCACCTTTGACACCCATTTGACGGCTAGGCTCCTCGGAGTCCGAAGCGTATGCTGTGTAACATCAAATTACCCTATAATGATCGGTACCAGGAGCAAGATATATGCAATGGCCCCTTGGTTGTCCAAAACTAGGAAAACAATTGTGTAGGCTATTGTTTCATAGATCACGCAAGGCTTGCTGCATGGACGCCGCCTTATGAGCGGACCCATACAAGGCTATCACTCTATCCTTAATAGCGTCTTTCGTGTATATGATTTCCGTGAGCTTTAGTTACCCGGTAATGTCCGGCCGGCTGTACACAATGTAAGATGCACTGTGCCACTTCCCACTTTCGAGTCGGACAACCTCTCGCCGTCATGGGGAGACTGTCCTTATCTTTTGTATCACTTGCTATGTTCGAGGCGTGGATATCTTACGATCTTGAAAGAAGTTGTCTCATCTTGGCCCTAATCACAATTTCGACCGCACTCTGATTTCTGCTTCTGGTTTCTTGGGCATCCACATGTTCTTCACAGCCTCCATATAGTCTTTCTCATGTTTCCCCAAATGGTTGCAGTGCGGAGTATCGTCCCACAGGTGCAGATCCACATCCCAGCCCCTCTCCTTTGCCTCTTTGGAATGACTAATAATATCCTGAAAAGGCGTGTTTTGATCTGCTTTGCTAGCGAAATAGCAGATGCGCTTGGTTTTGGCTGATTTTGTACCATCATTTCTATTCACATCGTACAAGAAGTTTTCAGGTTCGCCGACCTGTACGAGTGTTTCATCGAAGATACATTGACGCATCGCAGTTTCCGGTCTTGGGTACCTGCCCAGCGCTATAGATGTTTCCAAGACCAGCAAGGCATAGCTGGCGGCTACAGGGCCGAGAAGTCTGAGTATCAGACCATTTGGTATGCTTTGCTGGAAGCCGCGATAATTCTGTTTGTATCCGCCGACTGCAAGGGCTGAATCGATGACCAGACCGGAAAGCGGGAGGGGGCTACCTATCTCTGACTTCCATACTTGCAGAAGCTGAAGGATGTTGTTTGCACCGCCGTTTGAGAAGATGTGTAGCAGTATGTGTGGACTAGTCAAGGAGTGCGTAGCATCGTGACGTGTGTCGAGAGTGTTGACGCTATGTCCGCATTCCTTCACAACTTGAGCGATGGGATCTATTGCAGGTCGGATATTTCTCCTTTGAATGGGGTAAGGCGCGAGAAAACTATCGATAGGTCCCTGTATTAACAGTATCTTTGCGCTTGGAGCAAGTGTTTTGTAGAGAGTCGTATATTTCGCGATGTGTTTTGCTGTGCCGCCGAGCCACGTCGCGAGAATGATCAGCTGGCCTTTTGCGGGCTCTCGAGGCTCGTAGAGGGAAATGGAGCGACTCAAAGGCCGAAAGCCTACGATTTCGGCTTTCTTCGAATCTCTTGACATATTGAAACGTTCGTGATATATCACAGTAGATGTCAGGTCGTTGATGTTGCTCGGAGCTAAGCGGTGCTGAGAAATGTATAAGCGACACACGTACCGCCTATTTGGAAGCCATGCATGTGAAAATCAGTCGCAACCTGAGTGTCTTAGACTGCCGAAAGAAGATTCTAATAAACTGATTCTCTTTAAGTGATTGTAGAATTCACATCATTGAAATCAATACTCGTGATGTTCATTCCGACATCCCATTTTCGCTCAGACATTCTGTTCCGACCCCCTCGAAAAACTGTGGGCATCCTCCGTTGTCGTCACTCGCGACGTGATGGATAAATCTGTTCTATTGACCAACTCATCAAACTCCACATCTGTCGCCACTCTCTTACTACTCCCATTTTGAAACCTCCTGCCACCACCCCCTCCACCAATAGTGGTAATGTCCACCTTGCCCACGCTCGCAAACCTAGAGTCACTCCTCGAACGCCATAAAAACGTTCTCACCCTGCTTCCCATCTTCTCCACCCAGGTCTGATTCTTAATTTTATTGTATAGTAGAGGCATTGTCAAGAGACAAGCGACCAAAAATCCCGCCGTGACTTGACACGTTCCCCAAAAGGAGATCTTTGATCCAACATACGTGATATCTGCCGAGCTCTTAAGAAGCTGAATTTGGTAATGGATGCGCACACCGGAACAGATGAGGGCGAAGATGCCAATAGTGAACAGAGCGCTCAAACCACACTTCCTGCTTCTGTTTAAGTGCAAACGCGGGATGATCTGTTGTGGTACAGCCAAAATTATAACATCGGAGATAAAGGTGACAATGTTACCCGTGGCAAGAACAACACGCCAATCGAGACAATGTCCATTGACTGTGGGATCCCAGATCTTGCAACAGAAGGGCCTTTCGACGGGGTGTTTGCATTCTCGCAGGGCGCGGGGCTGGCCATAGCATACATGGCGCCCGCAAGCGTAGAGCAACCAAATGCAGCACCTGCGTTCAAGTGTGCGATTCTACTCAGTCCTACAGCAGTAGGTGATCCATTCGAGTGGTTCAATACGGGTGAGATGAAGCGCTTGCAGGAGCTTCCTGGAGGAGTCAAGATCGAGATTCCCACTACCATGATTTGGGGAGAAGGGGATCCTTATCGTGAGCAGGAAGGAATGGAAAAGTTGTTTGATTTTTTTGATGATACTAAGGCCTGGAATTACGTCCACAGCGGCGTACTCGAGGTGCCGAGTCCCAGGCTGGAGGATTCCATCCAGCAAACAAGGAAGCTAGCTATCCGGTCCATGACCTTGGTAAACAATCTTTTCCTTTAAGATTAGTTTGAGACTCGTATCAAATCCCAACAATGTATCATGTCTTGGATGCTCAGCGATCAGTCTCAGCAGCTGGTGGTGATTGCTCGGCGACAAGTGAATCTATGATAGCTGACTTCTCTGCGTCATCAGAGGTCCGGGGTGTCATTGCAGTCGGTGTCGTTATCCATGCCATTGCTGCAATAGGCAAGCATGCAGCTGCAAGGCCGATCGCTAGATACATCTGTTTGTTGTACGAGGTGCCGAAGGCAACGCGAACACGGGCTAGGGCATCGCCAGAAAGCATGCTTAAGGCTTCTGTTCTTTCCAACAGAAGTGCAGCCATTGGCGGAGGGAGAATCGAGCGGATTTTTGGCTCCAAAGACCTATTCGTAATCGTGGTACCAATAGATACTCCGATCAAGCCTCCGAGAGTGCGGAACTGTGACTGGGCTGCTGTAGCAACGGCTGAGACCTATTAGTCAAACTCAGTGAATGCCATCAAGTAGGAGTAATACCAAAGTCACGCTCTTCGAAATTGCTTTTGATAAGCATCATGACTGCAGAGACAATGAAGCCAATGCCCGTTCCAATGAGAGCCTGGCAACCATACTGCGCTCCCCTAATGCGATAGTCGCTTGAGGCCTGAGAGAGCACGGTGGTGCCAATAATTTCAAGGCAGACGCCAGCGGCCATGATGAGAGATGGCTGTACATGTGGTCGGTCCATTGCAGGCACTGCAATAATTGTGCCAAAGATGACGAACGCACCAAAGGCCAGCAACTTTGCTGCAGCTGCAAACGGTGACGTGCCGTTGACTGTCATGAAACGTTGAGGTATTTGAACGACGCATATCGATAGGACCCCCCCGTTCAACAGTGTGATTCTGTGATGTAATTAGATGATAGAGAAAGAATGTGCGTAGAGTAGCTCTTAGGATGCATACAGTATAACGGCAGCACAGATGCGACTCTGAAAGAAGCGCCATGGCAATACTGGCTCAGGAGTACTCCGACGTGTTGTGATGAACCATTGCGACACGAGGAAAGCAATGAAGAAAGGACAGGAGCAGATAAGCAGCGGTAGCACAAAGGCCGAGTCAAAATCGTAGCCTCGTGCAGCTTGCTGCAGCCCTGTTGTCAAGAGCAAGCACGTTCCAAGTAGGAGCATGCACCCCAGAAAATCGATTCTTCGAAGAAAATGGATCGAAAATGGTCCGCGTTGGTTCTTTGGTTCCCGCCTTAAGCGCTGTGGGAAGACGATAAGCACGATAAGCATTACAATCACACCCACGGGGACACTGCCAAAATTCTTAGTCCAGATCATGGAGTTGAGCTTCTTCTTTTGAATCCTCACTTTATCAGGAATATCCATCTCCAATCTCCAGATAACGAAACGCCACCTCCTACAAGTGGTCCGAGTACGAGAGGTGCTGTCATTGCGATCGAAACAATGCCGATGTACTTAGGATACTTTGCAGGCGGTACAAGTTCGACGAAAACTAGTTGGCTAAGGGCGAGGATGCCGCAGCCTCCAATTCCCTGAAGCCATCGAAACATGATACTGCATCTTTGTCAGCAATTGTGTAGACACCAAGGTATCGCAAGAACCCACAGTTGAGTAATAGATTTACTAGCACCACAGGCTCCCGAAAACGCAGTGAATAAGAACAGGGTCATCAGAATGGACTTTTTGCGGCCAGAGATATCAGAAATCTTAGCCCAGATGATTTGGAATGCTATATCGTATTAGCCAGTGCTCTCGAGCTTTCGTATCTGACAAACATGCCGCCAGAAGTCAGCCAGTATGCTGTAAGCATCCATGAGCTTTGCAGATAGCCGCCTAGATCATTGGTGATAGTAATTACGGCCGTGCTCGTAACAGTGGACTCCATCTGGGCAACAATCATGCTGATGCAGAGCCTCGAAAATGTTAGACTATTTACGATACGCTCTGAAGGGTCAGGAACTCACGCAGCTGTGATCGTGTGGAGCCTCCATCCTGAAAGATAGTCGATCCTCAGGGCGGTTGATGGGTTGGTCGAATTACCTGTTTCCATTATACTTTGGGCGTTGGGGTATTCTGTAAGGGCGTTGACATTGTGATGTTGGTTTGCGGTGGAATCGGTCGCAGAATGCAGTCGCGTCAGCACTGCGTGCGGTCTTTCTTACTAGAAAAAGCTGTTGTCACGTGAATCTTGCATGCGGCGGCGCGAAACCAACCTTTGGGCAATCTAAATCCCTGGGGTTGTTTGCCTCGCCGCAGGTGCATAGGCTAAACAATGGGCGCGCCGTGAAATTGGAATGGGTGATAAAAACGGCAGCAGGGATACAATCATGATCCCTGGTGCAGTGCTCCTTTTGCATCTGGCGGCACAGCTAAACTCTCAGAGTCTAAGTCCTTGACAATGAAAGCATCTTTCGGGTCTCAACAGCGATGCGCCAGTCGTACGTATATTAAAATGATGACAAATGAACCATACTCGGCTAATTTTATCGTTGTCGCGGAAAGGAGGCGAAGTCGATATTTTGACATTCTCTTTTTGGGTGGACGGAGTAAGAATGAGACATGCAGTACGCCGGGATAGATAAGATGTGTATGACTCTTGCTATAGCTAAGCAAGCCTTGGGGCCATTCTCCGCCTTCAGGTCGCTCTTAGAAAGAGGCACTAGGCAAATCTAATATCGTGACTGCAGTCAATGAATCCGGGAAGTAGCCATGGAACGAATCAGTAGAGCCAGCCAAGAACCAATTGCTATAGTGGGGTTGGCATTTCAATTCCCCCAAGGAGCGATTGATGAGGAGTCGTTATGGGAGAAGTTGATGAACAGAGAATGCACATCAACGGAATTTCCCAAGGAAAGACTGAACATCGAGGCCTTTCATAACCCAGATATAAAGAGCCAAGGCACGGTGGGTACGTCTGACCAGGTGGAAGTGTTCGAGCTAAGAAAGACTGTAGATACGTCCAAATCGAGCGTACTTTCTGAGAGATGATATCCGAAAATTTGACGCACAATTCTTCGGAATTCCCCCAGCGGAAGCTGCATGCTTGGATCCATAGCAGCGAGGCTTGTTGGAAACAACATATCATGCGATTGAAAATGGCGATTGGCTCAAGCTTGGCAATTCATGAAGAAGCGGACTCGACGGCAGCTAGTATTCGACGAAGTGATATCGCTGGCAGTAATACCTCGGTCCATGTTGGCAGCTTCTGCAATGGTGAGTTTTCCTAAGGCATGAGAAGAAGAAGAAGAAGACATGCGTGATCTAATCGTACCTGGCGAGATAGACTACATGGCATTCGTTTTGCGAGACGAGGAGCAAATACCCACCTACAACGCTACAGGATGCTCACAGACCCTTCTCTCCAATAGGATCAGTTGGGGATTTGACCTACGAGGGACTAGCTTGACGATCGATACGGCGTGTTCTAGCGGACTAGTCGCATTGGACCTGGCATGTTAAGAAATCTGGGCTGGGAGGTCGTCAACGGCGATTTGCGCAGCATCAAATGTCATCTTTTCGCCAGAGAACCTCATCACTCTATCGAATATGAACTTCCTGTCCCCCGATGGGAAATGCTTCAGTTTCGACCATCGAGAGAACGGGTACGCAAGAGGCGAGGGCTTCGCCAGCTTAATCCTGAAGCCACTCTCTAAGGCCATAGAAGACGGCGATACGATACGCTCCCTAATCCGTTCGACTAGATCTAACCAGGACGGCCATACCACGGGAGGTATCACACAGCCGAGTAAAGGGGCCCAGAAAAATCTGATTGCCGAGACATATCAGGTCGCCGGACTCGACCTCAGAGAAACCAGGCTCTTTGAAGGCCACGGTGAGAGCCGCAGCGCGAACTACCATTTGAAATGATGCTAACATGCTAAAGGAACCGGGACAGCGGTAGGTGACCCCATAGAAGCTGCCGCGATTGGCGAGACTTTCCGAAGGTTTCGAAGTGACAATGATTCATTATTTGTGTGAGTGTCAGCCGGTCCATCTACCCCTGCCGGAGATGACTGAGACTCTGCCGATGCTTTAGGGAAGCTAGCTTGCTGCGATTGTTCACCATTTCAACGGCCAGGAAAGTGAGACGAGGTCTCTTTATGGTGGTGGTGTGGTCAGCGGTAAAGTGTGAATTGTGATAACGCGAGAACAGGGAGAGGGGGAATAGTCTTGGCACGAGGCACAAAGCTCTTCAGATACCCACCCATGTCTATTGCCCACCCTCCATGGGCGATATCTACGCCGCCACATGTGCAAATAGCCTGATTTTTAGTCTTATAATAGCTGCTAGGCTGCTCTAGCTTTAAAGCGCTGCAGAGCTGCATTATAATTGCTATTACATTGCTAGGAACGCACTGTATGGCTGCTAGGTACCTCTTTATAAATGTCACAGTGTGACAGAAGTATACTGTGCTTGCACAGTATTCTAATAATGCAGCAAATTACAGAATAATGCAGTAAATTGCAAAAAAACACAGCAAATTGCAGAATAATATAGTAAATTGCAACAAAACACAGTAAATTATAGAATAATGCAGTAAATTGCAACAAGACGCAGCATATTACAGAATAATGCAGCAAATTATAACAAGACGCAGCAAATTGCAGAATAATATAAAATAGAATTTCTACTTAGCAGCTATAACTATCTAAACACTAATTAATTAACTCTTATAACAATAACTATATACAATACTAGGACTATAAAACTAGGGGCGATTGCTCTTCTTCTAAGCAACTCTAAGATGCTTGCAGAGCTAGTCTAGTAAGACCCTCTGCTGCTGCTGCTGCTAGCTTACCTGCTACATAGCTGCCTCCTTACTAGTCCTCTGCGCTTGTGTAATGCGCTTAATCTTCTTAATAACTTTAAGCTGCAGAGAGTACTACTATAGCTTACTTTAATAACTTAACCTCTACTTGTTCCCCTAGCGCCTGTTTAGCTTAGTAATAGAAGGCTAGCCCTGCAGGCCTACTGTCTATTTACGCTAGAGATCCTCTATAGTCCTTACAGCGCAGCACATGCAATGCTTTAGTGCAGGTTCTAGCTTAGGCGCTAGCTTAAGCGCTGCTAGCAGCGGCGATGGGCTAGGCGAGCGCGCAGACGGCGTAGGCGCGAGGCTGGCCTGGGCAGAGGTATACCTGCTTGAATCTACGTCTGCCAGCGACGGCGGCGCAGCTGCTGTGTGCCTGAGTGGAGGTGGTGGCAGCAGCAGACCGCCCTGCGCCTGCGATGCCTCCAGGCAGAACATAAGGCTGCTAGACGTGAGCACCTGTAGCTGCTAAAACTGTAATCTTTACAGCTTACGCATATAATTAAGCTCCTTTTTAAGCTCCCTCTTAAGCTTCTTTATCTACTGCTTGTTTTAGGCATCTAGCGCTTAGAGCTAGTTAGTAAGCAGGGGTATTACCTAGTATAAGACTAACAGCTAACTAGAAGCTGCCTCTGTGTTAAGAGACGCATTAATGTCCTAAGTAAAGGCAGTGTACGCCCTGTGCTAGAACACTAGGTGGCTCCACACAGAGTGGCTAGAGAAGTGCTAGCGCAGCGCAACTAAGTCCTAGAGGATCACCTCTCTAAGGTAGAGCAGTAGGCTTATAAGGCCCTCTGCAGCTAAGTTATTAATCTAGCTAGTGTGTAAGCTAAAGCAGCCCTTCTACGCATTAAGCTCTAGCTAGATAAGAGATAGGAGCTTGTCTAGAGGCATAATAGCTGTGTAAGAGATCTTAAAGTAGCCTATCTGCAGTAGATAGCTAGCTATAGACCTTATAAACTTTTATAGCAGTAAGTTAAAGTAGTAGCTAACTATTTACTTTTAATTTTACTTGCCTGCTTACTAAATTTAATCTTTACTAACTTTTTTAAGCTCTACTAGCTTAGCTGCTTTACTATGTAAAAGGTAAGTCTTTTTTTAAGATAAAATTTTAGTGTAACTGTACACCTTTATAACCTAGTTGCGCTAGGAGTTGTAAGAGAAGGCTGCTGTACAATTGCCTGTGCTAGCCTTAATTAGCTGTATGTAGTACTAGGCTAAGCGCTTACTAAAGTTAGAAAAAGGCTTATTGCCTAAGTCCTAGCAATAAAGTAGGTAGAAAGCTAGGCTGCTAAGCATGTAAAGGATTAGCTTTCTGTGCTGTAGCGTGCCTATTATTTTAAGCTAGCTATGCTAGTTCTGCTTACTTACGCAGGTAGTAAATATTAGGGGTATGTAGCGCGTAGGGCCTTTTTTTTTAAACTTAAAGGTAAACAGGTCTAAGATCTCTGCAGAACAGCAGTTGCCTCTACGCGTAAGCATGTAGTGGCCTAGCATGAGATTAACTAGCGTACAGAAGTGACACTCTACTGTTGCTAAGGACAAGCTTGCGTCTGCGCTATGTGTCTACAGCTTGCTACAGAGCTGCTTAAACTTGTCCTTAGTGTAGCTATTAAGCAGTGTGTCTTTGCCCTTGTTAGTGTACTGCTCTTAATCTTGCTAGGCATCTTTACGCTGTAAAGACCTAAGGTACTCTCTTGCGCTGTCTACGTGCAGTAATAGGTGGCTGTTTATGCCTAGCGCCTTCTGCTCTTGCTAGAGGTTAGTGTTACAATCCTTACTCCAGGGAAATAGTATTTTCCGGAGTACAACAGCCTATGTGGGTATTAGTGGAGAGGGGATGAGAACTTAGCTGGATCAGGTGTACAGTCTGTTGAGCAGAGTGAGGGATAATCAGGGTTCAGGAGGCAGGCTGTGGTTTGTCCCTATAGCTGTATAGGTAGCTGGGTTTTACTAGTTAAGTAGACAGGGGTTAGAGGTATATATGTTGCAAGATATATAAGGCAGCTTAATCCTCTTTAAAAAGAATTTAAGCTTCTTAGTCTATTATAAAGAATAAACTAAATATTAATTATAACCTTCTAACTATAGTTAGAATTAAGACTATATACATAGTAGTTGCATGCTAGCATGTCTGCATGCTGTTTTCTTTTGTAGCCTATAAGCGCGCAAGCTTGTAATACCTTATTAAATAACACATTCTGCTAAGCATTTATTTATTAGATAGCGCTATTTCTCTTTTATTTAGTTATAAGGTCTGCTAATTATAGGGTTAACTATCTTTTATTTATTATGCTTAGGGCTGTGTGCAATAGTAAGCTAAGTTATTATAGTCTAATTATTAGCTATAACACGTAGGCTTCTTTTCTAGTTAGCGTCCTTACTATTATGTTTTTTTTGTTGTAAGTGTTAGGTTTTCTTTTTAACTAGTGCGTGTTCTTTTATAAATACTTAATGTACACTTATTCTTTTTAACTATGCCTTATTAGGCTCCTTGTCTTTCTGCCTCTGCTTGTTGTTTCTAGACAGTTGCTTAACTTAACCTACTTTAGCGTATAAAAATGCATCTTTATAGCGCTTGTTGTTTAAGCAGTTCCTTTTACATAATGTTCTTATTATTAGACAAGTGTGTAGAGTGCGTTTAAAAAAAATGCTATTATAATGCATTTATATTAAATACATCCTAAGATTATTTAGAGAAGGAGTAAAAAAGATTATAAGTAAAGTTAAAAAAAGCTTAAAAAAATAAAATGCGCAAAAAAAAAAAGTCTTTAGCGCGCCTACAGTCCTCTATAGCCTATTAGGAGAGGGCGCAAAAGCAGCTTAATCTTCTAGCAAATTAAAGGGCAAAATATCTAGAAAAAGACTTTTTCTTCTTAGATAAGCTTAAAGCACTTAAGGCAGAAGTAGCTAGTCTTCCTCTACCTTAGCTAGTGTTAAAGAGGTGTAGTTTTTTTACATTATAGCTAACTAATGCAATAGTAGCTTTAGCAGGCAAGAATGTTTTTTAGTTATAGGAACTTTTGCCTAGATAGTTTAACTTAAAAGGTGTAAGTAATATTTTTATAGCGCCTTTTAGGCGTTTTATAAGTTTATAATAAGTTTCTAAGTGTTTTTACAAGCTAAGTACTCTACCTACTTTATTAAGTAGTAATTTTCTTCTTTGTTTAAAATCTTTTTTACTTTATATTTAAGTTTCTTTTTATCTTATTTTTAAGTTACTAACAAGATGTTTTTAAGTGCTATTTCTAGCTTAGAAATGTAGAACTATAGGAAGATTTTTATGTCTTTTAGTAACTTAAGCTTACATGCTCCTAGGCAGGTTTAAATAACTTTATAGGGTCCTATTTATTTTTTAGCTAGCTTTTGTGCTAGTTAAGGGTTTTTAAAGTTTATAGTATCTAAATATACATAATTATAAGAATGTATTTTTAGTGCTGTTTACTTATGTTAGTTTACTAATGCTTTTATAGCTTTAACTATAAGCTAGGCTTTTTTACTTAATTTTTAATGTATTTCTAAAAGTTATGTTATCTAGTTTAAAGCCTCTAGTAGGTCTGTTAGCTAAGTTCTAGAAAGCTTATATCTATAAAAGTAGCTAAAATTTACTTTATATAAAGTTATCTTAGTTAAAGCAGATTATGTAGTGTTAATAGCTAACTAGGCTATTAGTAACTATTCTAGCTAGTCTGTTTATTTATATAAGATGTACTTTTGCAGGTATTTTTCTATTTCTGCGTTTATTTATTCTGTCTGTTTATCTGTCTAAGGGTGATAAGCTGTAGAGAGTTTGTAGGTTATTTTAAAGTGTTAGACTACAGTTGCCTAATATTTACTAGTAAAAAGTTTATTTTTATCTAAGATAATAATCTATAAGCATCTATAAGTTATAAAAAGATTTTTTTTTATTTTAAACATAAATTCTTTTACTATTATACTTTTTTCTATTACCTACATAAGAATAAATTTTATAGTTTTATTAACTATTACTATAATTATGTTGTAAAGCCTTTCTGTACTAGGTTTGTAGAATAGCAGTAGTCCTGTTATAAAGTCTATTATTATTATAGTCTAGGGCTGTTTAGGTGCTATAATTAGTTAGAGTTGTCTATATAGTTTATGCCTTTAGGGGTTGTTCTTATTACATAGGTTACATTCCTATAGTAC